CTTTAACCACCCATTCCCTCTTTTGCAGATTGCCATGATCTCACCAGGCATAAGCTCCTGTGAATACACTTTAAATACACTAAGATATGCAGACAGGTACCAGTATCTATGGCCAGGTGGGGCAGGGAACAGGGTGTGGGAGTAGGGAAATGAATGGCAGAGATGAAAGAGGGAAGAGGCTGTGGGGTTAAGTGCCTACTGTCTACTCTTCTGTGATTCAGTGAATCTGAGGCTCAGGAGTTCGGATATGATGCTAGGTCTGCCCCAAACCTCTCCAGGCCCCGGTAGGGAGTCAGCATGCTTGACAGATTTTTTCTAGGCCAAAGGCAAAGGCTGCTTCCTCCATCCCCTTAGAAGCCTCAAGCCTGACAGTCTTAAGTGGTACAGCATGGTTGGTACAGCCAAGGAGGTTGCTATGGAATCTGAGACTTTCTTGTTTCCTCAGGGTCAAGGAGCTGAGCCCCCACAGTGGGCCCATTGGGGAGCAGCCAGTTCAGATGGAAATAGAAGAGACAGAAGCCAGCTCGAATAGCTCCCTGACCGCAGACAATGTAAGTGGCAGGGTGGGGCCAAGCCGGACAGAACCATGGCTCGCTCAGATGGGAACTGGGCCATACTGTTGTATCTCTCCTTTCGGCCCCCTTAGTTTTCCAAGGAAGAAGAAGAAGAACTGTCTTGCCAGATGTCCGGCTTTAATGAGGCCATGAACCAGATCAGGGAGCTCGAGGAGAGGGCTGTGGAAGAGCTGAAGGAGATTATACAGGTGGGAAGTTGGCCCTGGCCTGGGAGGGACTAGATACCACCCTGGCCCAGACCTGCAGCTGCACTCAGCACCGTGCCTCGAATGCGACCTGGGCTTTGCTCCCACAGGTGTTCACGTCGGCATGGCAAGAGGCAATCCTCTACCCCAGCATTCCCTAATTCTTCACCTATTCGTCTACCTGCTCTTCTTAGGCAACTAATACCACACCTTTTTCAGTCTGGCACACATAGGCTTTCCTCTGTCCTTCTAGCTGGAACTACTCTCTCTTCGTCATGCTTCTTTTTTTTTAAATATATTTTATTGATGATGCTGTTACAGTTGTCCCATTTCCCCCTCTTCATCCCCCTCCACCTGGCACACCCCCTCCCACCCACATTCCCCTGCTTTACACATGTCCATGTGTCATAAGTTCTTTAGCTTCTACATTTCCCACACTACTCTTGCTCTCCCCCATCTATTCTCTCCCCACTGCCTATGCTACTTATTTTCTGTACCTTCTCCCCCTCTCTTCTCCCCCCACTCCCCTCTTGCTAACCCTCCATGTGATCTGCATTTCTGTGGTTCTATTCCTGTTCTGGTTTTGTTTGCTTAGTTTGCTTTTAGGTGTGGTTGTTAACAACTGTGACTTTGCTGTCTTTTTACTATTCATATTTTTTTTAACCTTCTTTTTCATAGGTAAGTCCCTTTAACATTTCATACAATAAGGGCTTGGTGATGATGAACTCCTTTAACTTGAGCTTATCTGAGAAGTACTTTTATCTGCCCTTCCATTCTAAATGAAAGCTTTACTAGTTAGAGCAATCTTGGATTTAGATCCTTGCCTTTCATGAGTTGGAATACTTCTTTCCAGCCCCTTCTTGCCTGTAAGGTTTCTTTTGAGAAATCAGCTGAGTCTGATGGGGACTCTTGTAGGTGACTGTCCCTTTATCTCTTGCTGCTTCTAGAATTCTCTCCTTTATTTTAAACTTGAGTAATGTAATTATAATATGCCTCAGTGTGTTCCTCCTTGGGTCCAATTTCTTTGAGATTCTCTGAGCTTCCTGGACTTCCTGGAAGTCTATTTCCTTTGCCAGATTGGAGAAGTTCTCCTTTATTATTTGTTCAAATAAGTTTTCCACTTGTTGCTCTTCTTCTTCCCCTTCTGGTACCCCAGTAATTCAGATGTTGGAATGTTTAAAGATGTCCTGGAGCCTCCTAAGCCTCTCATTTTTTTGAATTCTTATTTCTTCATTCTTTTCTGTCTGGTTGTTTCTTCCTTCTGGCCCACTCCATTGATTTGAGTCCCAGTTTTCTTCCCATCACTATTGGTTCCCTGTGCATCTTCCTTCATTTCACTTAGTGTAGCCTTCATTCTTTCATCTAATTTGTGACCAAAATCAACCAGTTCTGTGAGCATCCTGATCACAAGTGTTTTGAACTGTACATCTGATAGGTTGGCTATTTTTCACTTAGATATATTGGCTCTGGGAATTTGATTTGTCCTTCCGTTTGAGCCTTTTGGTTTGGTTTGGTTTGGTTTGGTTTGGGTCTGGTCATTATTGTTATGTAGTGAGAGGCGGAACCTTAGGTGCTCACCAGGGCGGGGCAAACCAGTTGCTGGGTTGTGATGCCGTATGTGGGGTGGGGTCAGAGAAGGAACAGTGGCACTTGCTCTGCTCTCTGATTTCGGTCCCCTCTGCTGCTTCCCACAAGCAAATTGGGCCGTTCTGGTGCTGGTTCCCAGGTGGGTGGACTTGTGTACGTTCTAGGACTCTGAGGGTCTCTCCAACAAACTCTTTTGAGGCTGGGAGTGTCTCCTGGCACCTCATCCCCCACAGGTGTTTTCAATCAGTGCCTTTAGGCTTTATTTCCTGGCGCCCCGGGAAATTTCGCTGGGGCCCTGGGTTGCACAGTCTGTCTCGCTGCCCATTTTCATCTGGTTTATCTGCGCTCAAACGTGTGACCGCAGTCAGCCAGCCACCCTCACTGGGTCTGCTCATGGCCACCTGTATACCCAGGTTCGCCAGCCACCTTTTTCCTGCCTTGACCCCTCTCTGCTGGCCACCGCCTCTGCCCCTCTTACTGGTCTGGGTGAATGGTTGTCAGACTTCCGTACAGTTTAATTTTCTGTCAGTCCTGGTTGTTTTTTTGTTTCTAAATTTTTGTTGTCCTTAATTTTGGTTGGGTGAGGAGGCACAGTGTGTCTACCTACCTCTGGGTTTGGGGGAGGTCATTCCTCCCTTACCTGGTGGGAAGGAAACTACAGAATTCTGAAGGCAGACCTTTGGGGAAGCAGGAGAGGCAAGTTCTGGCTGGTGTGGCTTAGTGGATTGAGTGCCGGCCTACAAACCCAAGGGTCTGCATTGTGGCTGGAAGTTACCATGCTTCTGATTGGAGGTTTTGGAAAGCGGTTTATATGAAGGGACCTTGTTATTCGGTGAGTGTTCAGTGAGTGTGTTCTCTATGCCAGCTCCTGTACTGAGGCCAAGGACCAAAACTATGAAGTATGGATAGTAGACCCTAAAATAAGACTTGCTCAATCCTGATTCTTCTATTTACAAGCCGACTTCCTTGTGAAAGTCATTTAGGTTCACTAGGCCTCAAACTGAAGGGCCACTGGTTCGATTCCCAGTCAGGGCACATGCCTGGGTTATAGGCCAGGTCCCCAGTTAGGGGCATGCCAGAGGCAACCCATCATTGTGTCTCTTGTGCATCAATGTTTCTCTTCCCCCTCTAAAAATAAATAAATAATCTTTTAAAAAACTGGCCTTATGGTTCATACCAGAGGCCCAGACTCTGTTCAGCGGGCAGTGGATGTCGTTGGAGGAAGTGGAGGGGTGCCGCGGTCGCGTCGCTGTAGCCACAGTGTGGTTTGGTTTGGGGACATGGGGAGAGTGAAGAGAGGCAGTTGGGAGTTGAGGGCCATTGGGAGGTCGTTAGAGATGCTGGTACCTAGACTGAGTGTGGCATTGGCCATGGGACTGCGGTAAGGGCAAAAGATTCAAGAACCATGTAAAGGGTGGACTTGGTAGGATTTGGGGACAAGAAAGGTAGAAGAATTAAGTTGTTGCTCAGATTTCTGGCTTGGGCTTCAAGACAGAGCATAGCATTCATTTGACATAATAGGGATAAGAGGTGGGGATAAGGGGACTAAATGGTAATGGGGGAAAATACAATAAAACAAATGAAGAGACAGGAAGGAGTTTGGGGTAGGGAAGAGGATGAATTCAGTCTGGGTACTTCTACAGGAGAGAGTCAGGAGGCAGGGTGAGGGCCATGCCTAGAGGAATGGGCTTCTCACCCAGGCGTCTGCTTTGAAGCAGGGACTCAGGAATGATTTGCTAAATTGGTTTGGTCCTTGTTTGAACTGACAAGGTCATCCCTGTGCCGTTGCAGCGAGGGCCAGGCTGGCTGGAGCTCTCCGAGATGACTGAACAGCCAGACTACGACCTGGAGACCTTTGTGAACAAGGCAGAGTCTGCCCTGGCCCAGCAAGCCAAGCACTTCTCAGCCCTGCAAGGTGGGTGCAGCTGGGTGGGATACGGCAGGATGGGGCCTCTGTAGGTGATGGCAGCTCTGCCCTGAGGGAATGGGGCCTCTGACACAGAGACTAACCCCGAGTACATCACCCCCCCTTCCTTCCAGATACCATCAAGGCCTTGCGCCTGGCCATGCAGCTGGAAGAGCAGGCCAGCAAACAAATGAGCAGCAAGAAACGGCCCCAGTGACGACTGCAAATAAAAGATGCTTGGTTTCACGCCAGCCTTTTCACCATCTAATCCCTCCCCAGTGAACTTTGGGCTCAGGTTCTGAGCTGGAACAGGCTTTGGTAAATGCCAAGTATTGGGGCATCAGGGCCAGGACAGACGGGGAGGGCATCAGTGAGTGGGGCACTCCTTTTCCTCAACCGTAGCCTTGAAGGGAGCAAGGGTGGGAGAATGGGACTTTTAACTGTCCTGTGTGGCCCTTCTCTCCCAGCGGGGAAGGCTGGTGGCACAGTTCTCCCTAGGTCGGCATTCCTCCTGTGTGGGCTGGCCGCTGGTGGAGAACTCCCTGTGGTTGTCCTGGCTCTGGGCAGAGGCAAGGAGCCTTAGTCCAGCTCTGCTGGCTGTGGCCTGCCATCCACACCCTTGGTCTGGGCACTAATATGTCTTGTACTTTAGAAGTTTCTAGAACCTCTTTCTTGCTGTTTTTTTGAGGTCCAAGAGGATCCCTGTTGTTTTCTGTTTTTACATTGTGTCTAACAATAAAGAACGGGGGAAAAGCAGTCTCTTGAGTGGTGTGTGGGAAGGGCCTGGGATGTGCCTGAACCCCCGGGCACTAGGAACACTGCACCTCCCGCAATGCCGGTAGAGCAGTGCGGTTCCGTGCTCTACCCAGAGCCACACCGCGCTTACGTGACACGTTGCAGACCCCAGCCTGTCTTGTTTAGTGACCTCACTGGGCCCCAGGTCCCGTCCTGGGAACAGGAGCTGTAAGCAGAAAGGAGATGGTGCTCCGTCAGTTACAGTCCACTCAGCGCATGTTCGATTCTGTGAGGTTTTCAGCTGCTGTGATGATGGGGAGATCCCAGCTGGGCCAAGGACATCAGACTTCGTCTTCCCAGCCCTTTGACCCTCAAAATGGTTTGATTTGCCCCTTGCCAAAAAAAAGGTTCTGTGGGAACACAGAAGAAAGCACTTGGCTTGCTACGCAAAAAAGGATTTCAATTTGGTCTTGAAATATAAGAAGTTTCCTGGGTAGACTGAGGGACCAAACAGGGTTCAGACAGTCTGGGGACTAGAGGACTCCATATTCAGTGTCACCAGTGTGCCACTAAAGGACCTTTTGTCTCAGAGTCACACAACCCAATGTGTTTTAGAAAGGTCTCGGGAGATGTGTGGGGAGCTGGGGGCACGTGGGCAGAAACTCAGAGAGGGCTGTCCCACAGGTCCAAGTTCTGGCCTTCTACGCCTTGGCTACTTCATGTGTGAAACGGTATTCTCGACCTTTCGGTGAGGGAATGCATGGATTTCAAGTACCATTCAACAGCCAAATATAAGACCTGATTTCAGAAATTTAGCTGAATCAGATGTCTGACAGAAATGTCACCAGCTCTAAGGACTTTAAAGCTTCCAGATAACCTTAATTTCCCCTTCACCTGTAAAGTGTGGCCAGCATTACTGGCCTCACAGGAGTGAAAAGATGAACGAAGGCCACCAGCCCACACCTGACTACCTTCTCACCTGGATGACCATCCGAATCCCTAACTGGTCTCCTGTCTGGATTCTTTTTTTTTTTTTTAAGTATTTTATTTATTTTTACTCAAGAGGGGAAGGGAGGGATAAAGAGAGGAAGAGAAACATCAATATGTGGTTGCCTCTCGCACCTGCCACTGGGGACCTGGATTTCAACCCAGGCATGTGCCCTGACTGGGAACTGAACCAGCAACCCTCTGATTCACAGGTCAGCGCTCAATCCACTGAGCCACACCAGCCAGGCCTCCTGTTTGAATTCTTAACTCCAGTGACCTCCCCAACCAGTCAGAAAAATCCTTATGTTATTCCCTGCTTGGAACCCCTTAATAGCATCCCCTTGCACAACGGATAGATTCTGAATTGCCCCCCCCTCCACTCCTAGCCCCTGCTGGTGTGGCTCAGTGGATTGAGTGCTAGCCTGCACGCCATAAAGTCACCAGTTCAATTCCCAGTCAGGGCACATGCCTGGGTTGCAGGCCAGACCCCCTGTTGAGGGTAGGCAAGAGGCAACAATTGATGTAACTCCCATATCAATGTTTCTCTTCCTCTCTCCCTCTCTCTTTAAAAATACATAAAATAAAATCTTAAAAATTCTGAATGCCGGACTCCCGCCAAGATGGAGGCGTAGGTGGACCCACCTTGCTTCCTTGCACAACCAAATCTAAGAACAACTATTTTTAACAACGATTAACACAACCAGACCACACAGAAAATCAACAATACGGAGTCCGAAAAAAGGACGAAATGCTCGGCTAAACGGGTAAGAGGGGTGAAGCCAGCAGCAGAGCCAGTTGACCAAAAAGATCCCTGACCTGGTGGCGTGCTAGCAGCTGAAGGCGTGGATCGTGGGCTAGCTACGGGCAGACACAGGGAAGAGGCGCGGCTGGCTGTCTGCGGTAGGTCGCGCATTTGCGTGCAGATAAACCAGTGAAGAGGCTAGCATTGAGACCGCACGGCGCGGGGCAGCAGGCTCGGACAGTTCTGCTTGGATAAACAGGCCGGGGCAAGTGGTGGGACGGGACAAACTGGGCTAGCGGAGAGGACCGCCATTGCTCCCTCTCTGACCCCGCCCACACACACAGCGTCACAAACCAGCGACCTGGGTGGCTCCGCCCTGGTAAACAACTAAGGCTTCACCCCTCTTACTTACCAGCGCAAACAGACCAAAAATGGCTTCAAGAACAACTCAGAGCCCCAGAGCCAATAAATCTAAGTGATGAGGAAATAGCCAAACTTTCAGATGCACAGTTCGAAACACTGGTTATCAGGATCCTCACAGAACTGGTTGATTTTAGTCACAAATTAGAGAAACATATGAAAGCTAAACTAATTGAAATGAATGGTAATGCAAAGGATACCAATAGTAATGGAAAGGAGTCTGGGAATCAAATCAATGGAGTGGACCACAAGAAAGAAAATACTGGCCAAACAGAAAAGAATGAAGAAACAAGAATTCAAAAAAATGAGGAGAGGCTTAGGAACCTCCAGGACATCTTTAAACGTTCCAACATTTGAATTATAGGGGTACCAAAAGGGGAAGAGTCACGAGTGGAAACCTTATTTGAACAAATAATAAAAGAGAACTTCCCCATTCTGGCAGAGGAAATAGACTTCCAGGAAGTCCAGGAAGCTCAGAGAGTCCCAAAGAAGTTGGACCCAAGAAGATACACACCGAGGCACATCATCGTTACATTAGCCAAGATTAAATTGGAGAGAATCCTAGAAGCAGCAAGAGATAAGGGGACAGTCACCTACAAAGGAGTCCCCATCAGACTGTCAGTGGATTTCTCAAAAGAGACATTACAGGCAAGAAGGGGCTGGAAAGAGGTATTCCAAGTCATGAAATCCAAAGACCTACAACCAAGATTGCTCTATCCAGCAAAGTTTTCATTTAGAATGGAAGGACAGATAAAGTGCTTCTCAGATAAGACCAAATTCAAGGAGTTCATCATCACCAAGCCCTTATTATATGAAATGTTAAAGGGATTTACCTAAGAAAAAGAAGTTAAAAAAACATGAACAGTGAAAGGACAGCAAACTCACAGTTATTAACAACCACACGTAAAACAAAAGCAAATTAAGAGGACAGCTGGATCAGGAGTGAATCATAGAAATGAAGATCACGTGGAGGATTAGCAACAGGGGAGTGGGAGAAGGAGAAGAAGGGGGGAGAAGGTACAGAAAATAAGCATAGACAGTAGATAGAAAATAGATAGGGGGAGGGTAAGAATAGTAGGGGAAATACAGAATCTAAAGAATTTGAGACATGTGTTCATGAACTAAAGGGGGAAATGGTGGGGGAGGGGCATGCAGGGTGGAGGGGGGAATAGAACAAATGTAATGGCATAATCAATAAAAAAGTTAAAAAAAAATTCTGAATGCCCCACTGTGGCATATTAGGCCCTGCCCAATCACCTCTTGTCTATTGGTCCAATGGGAATGTAATTTGGGCAGAACAGTTTGGTGGCTAAAAACCCAGCTTGTGAAGCTACACTACAAGGTGGGACCCTAGCTCTGTGACCTCAGAACCTGACATGGGTTGTTTAACCTTTAGTGCTGCCTGTGAAGTGGGGATAACGCTCGTAGAGTTATGAATACTGAGTTAATACACATACAGCAGTAAGTACAAGTTCACGTTTAAGAAGTGCTAGCTAGGCCCTGGCCGGTAGCTCAGCTGGTTGGAGCATTGTCCAAATATGCCAAGGTTTCGGGTTAGATCCCTGGTCAAGGCACATACAAGAATCAACCAATGAATGCATAACTGAGTGGAATAATAAATCAATGTATTAAAAAAGTGCTAGCTATTTAAGTACATAAGGACAAAGATTTTTGGTATATTTAATACTGTATCAACAATGTCTAAAACAAAGAATAAGCACACAATATATGTTTTTGAATGAATGAATGAATGAATGAATGAATACACCCTACCACTCACTGTTCTCCAACCATGCTGGCCTTTATTTCTGGAATATGTCAGAGCTCTTTTTTTTAAATAATAGCTTTATTGAGATACCATTCACATACCATAAGATTCACCCTTTTGCCCTGGCTGGAGTGGCTCAGTGGACTGAGCAGGGGCCTGCGAACCCAAGGGTCGCTGGTGTGATTCCCAGTCAGGGCGCATGCCTGGGTTTTGGGCCTGGTCCCCAACAGGAGGCACATGAGAGGCAACAGCACACTGATGTTTCCCTCTGTCTTCCTCCCTTCCCTTCTCTCTAAAAATAAAAAAGTCTCACTCTTTTAAAGTGCACAGTTCAGTAGTTTTTAGTGTACTTACTCACTTAATTGGGCAACTGCCCCGGCTGGTGCAGCTCAGTGGATTGAGTGCTGCTCTGCACACTGGTTTGATTCCTGGCCAGGGCGCACGCTGGGGTATAGGTTAGGTCCCCCCTTGGGGGCGTGCCAAGTGGCAACCAGTACATCACACATCAATGTTTCTCTCTTTCTCCCTCTCTTCCCTTCTCTCTAAAAATAAATAAAATCTTTAGCCGGGCAACCATCACCACTAATTCAAGAATGTTTTTATCGGGCCAAGATGGAGGCGTAGGTGGAAATGCTATACCTCCTCACGCAACCAAATTTAAGGACAACAAAGATTTAGAAACAAAAACACAACCAAAACAGACAGAAAATAGAACTTTACGGAAGTCCAACGACAACCGTTCATCCAGACCAGTAAGAGGGGTGGAATCGGCAGCCGGTGGAGAGGAGTTCTGGCAGGAAAAGGTGGTGGTTGGCAGAACTGGGTGCGGGGAGGAAACAAGGCATGCAAGGCGGTTGGCTGACCTTGGACACACATTTGCGCGCAGGTAAACCAGTCAAAAAAAAAAGGGCCATGAGACAGACTGTGCGACCCAGGGCCCCAGCGACAGGGATTAAAGCCTGAAATCACCAACTGGAAAAACTTTTGGGGTTGAGGTGCTGGAGAAGATCCCAGCCTCATGAGACATCATTAGAGAGACCCACAGGGTCCTTGAATGTACACAAGCCCACCCACGAGGAACCAGCACCAGAAGGGCCCAATTTGCTTGTGGGGAGCGGCAGAGTGGACTAAAATCCGAGAGAGAGCATGGAACAAGTACCATTACTTCCCCTCTGACCCTACCCCCACATACAGCATCACAACCCAGCAACTGGGTTGCCCCACCCTGGTGAACACCTAAGGCTCTGCCCCTCATACAAAACAGGCACGACAAGACCAAAACATTATGGCTGAAACAAAACAGATCAAAGCCCCAGAGCCAATACTTCTAAGTGACCAAGAGACAGCCAACCTATCAGATGCACAGTTCAAAACACAGATGATCAGGATGATCACAGAACTGGTTGATTTTGGTCTCATTTTAGATGAAAAAATGAAGGCTATGCTAAGTGAAATGAAGGAAGATACACAGGAAACCAACAGTGATGGAAAGAAAACTGGGACTCAAATCAATGGAGGGGACCAGAAGGAAGAAAGAAACAACCAAACAGAAAAGAACGAAGAAACAAGAATTTCAAAAAATGAGGAGAGGCTTAGGAACCTCCAGGACATCTTTAAACGTCCCAACATATGAATTACTGGGGTACCAGAAGGGGAAGAGGAACAGCAACAAGTGAAAAACTTATTTGACAAATAATAAAGAACTCCCCCAATCTGGAAAAAGAAATAGACTTCCAGGAAGTCCAGGAAGCTCAGAGAGTCCCAAAGAAGTTAGACCCAAGGAGGAATACACCAAGGCATATTATAGTTACATTAGCCAAGATTAAAATGAAGGAGAGAATCCTAGAAGCAGCATGAGATAAGGGGACAGTTACCTACAAAGAAGTTCCCATCAGACTGTCAGCTGATTTCTCAAAAGAGACCTTACAGGCAAGAAGGGGCTGGAAAGAAGTATTCCAAGTCATGAAAGGCAAGGATCTACATCCAAGACTGCTCTATCCAGCAAAGCTTTCATTTAGAATGGAAGGACAGATAAAGTACTTCTCAGATAAGGTCAAGTTAAAGGAGTTCATCACCAAGCCCTTATTTCATGAAATGTTAAAGGGACTTATCTAAGAAAAAGAAGATACAAAAGATGAACAGCGAAAGGACAGCAAACTCACAGTTATTAAGAACCACACCTAAAACAAAAACAAACTAAGTGGACAGCTAGATCAGGAGTGGAGCCACAGACATGCAGATCACATGGAGGGTTAGCAAGAGGGGAGTGGGAGAAGGAGAAGGGGAGAGAAGGTACAGAGAATAAGTAGTATAGGCAGTGGGGAGAGAATAGATGGGGCAGGGCAAGAGTAGTGTGGGAACTGTAGAAGCTAAAGAACTTATGACATATGAACATGAATTAAAGGGGGGAAATGTGGGGAGAGGGGTGTGCAGGCGGGGAGGGGAATGAAGGGAGGAATGGGACAATTGTAATAGCATAATCAATAAAATATATTTTTAAAAAAGAATGTTTTGCCCCGGCTGGTGTAGATTAGTGGATTGAGCACAGGCCTGCGAGCCAAAGGATCTCGATTTGATTCCCAGTCGGGGCACATGCCTGGGTTGCAGGCCAGTTCCCAGCAGGGAATGCACAAGAGGCAACCATACATTGATGTTTCTCTCCCTCTCTCCTTCCCTTCCCCTCTAAAGATAAATACATAAAATATTTCTTAAAAATAAAAAAAAAGAATGTTTTTACCACCCAAAAAGAAACCCCGTGCCCATTAGCTTTCACCCCCAATTCACGACCCTTCATTGTCAATGAAGGCCGAGAAGCACACCTGTCCCACATCTGGGGAACTGCAGTGTCGTCCTGCTCCACTTGAGGGGGCCGACAAGGAAAAGTCCTCTGAGAATCAGGTTTCTGTTAGAAGGCAAAGGAAACATTCAGAAAGCAAAATTTAGAGAAGGTTAAAGAGGATTTGTTTTCTAATGAATAACACAGGACATAATCAGATTTTAGGCTATGGATGGTAAGAAACCTGTTTTTATATACCAGGTTTATAACTGTGTCCTGATTAGAATGTGGGTGATGAAGGTTTATAACTGTGTCCTGATTAAAATGTGGGTGATGGGGAGAAAAATTTTTAAGGTGACTAATGAGAAAAGGGCCAAAGGCCTAATATGATCAGTGTTCATATTAGGTCTCAGAGCAAACATAATGGTGGCCAGCTAGGGTGTCAGAGAGGGGCAGGAGAGAGGTTCTCTCCAGGATGACATGGAGTCACACAGCCCCGATTCCTGGGTCTCCCAGCCCCTGGTAAGAAATTTAGATTGTATTACAAATGTGCCGGAAAGCCAGGAGAAGGCTGAAGACACAGAAGAAAGAAGGGATAACGTTAGGAGAATCCCTTCCAATGAATGGGGTAGGATCTGGAAGTAAAAGGGCCTATTTGTCAGGCAATTTATTGCTTTAAAAAACTGCCCTCCGCTCTGTGTTCCTTTTCAGCCGTCACCATAATTTTCTCCTCCTCTTTAAACTTCTCAAAACATTATCTACATGTACTCATTTTTAATTTCCCCATTTCAAGTTTTTGAAAAAAACTAATCACATTTTTGTTCACTCCATTGCACAGAAACTACTCTTGCCAATGACACTCAATCATCCAACAATCGCTTTTAGTGTTCCTTTTTAAAAAGAGATTTATTTTTAGAGAAGGGGGGGAGGGAGAAAAACGTTGACCAGTTGCCACTTGTACGCACCCCGACTGGGGAGTGTACCCACACGAGCTCCGACCGGGAATTGAACCAGCAATGATGCCCACCTGAGCCACACAGCCAAGGTGGTCTTCCTTTTAACTAGACATCACAGGGGCCTAAGACCATGACATGACCCTCACCCTGTACTGTCACACGAATTGCTCCTTTTGGCTTCTTTTCTCTATCTGGACTTAAATGTTGCCATTCCTCACACCTTGGGCCTAGGCCTTCTCCTTATATTTCTAGTTTGTTTTTCTACTTGCATAACCTTTTCAAAAAAATATTTTATTTACTTAATTTTAGAGAGAGGAAGGGAAGGAGAGGGAAACATCAATGTGTGGTTGCATCTCATGCACCCCCAACTGGGGATCTGGCCCACAACCCAGACATGTGGCCTGACTGGGAACTGAACTGGGGACTCTTTGGTTCACAGGCCCATGCCCAATCCACTGAGCTATACCAGCCAGGGTTCTTCTTGCATTTCTTTATGGTATAATTTGGCACATTGCTGTGCATTGACTGGGCCCATGAACTGGGTGGTTTTTATGTTTGTGTTTGAAAAAAAATTCAAAAGCATATTTCATAACAAATCCCAGTATCCATAAAGTTTTATTGGAGCACAGCCATATCCATTGGTTTACCTTTGTCTATGGCTGTGACACAGACCCTGCAGCCCACAAAACCTATTTACCCTTTATAGGAAGTTTGCCTTATGCTGTTTCCATAGATTACATTCATACTGGTAGCATTAATTACCATTTACATAACCAATGAAACCCAAAAATAATGTATGTCCAGATATCTTATAAGGATAAACAACATGAACATTCAGCTGCCTGTTGTCAGGGACAGGGAGAACTCCCCTCTTTCATCTTCTTACATCTTATGGCTGGACTAACAACAAAAAAATGAAATTGATATAAGGCTAGATTAATAGGAGAAAAAGTAATTTAACATGTGCACATGGGAGAATCACAATATGACATTCAGATAATAAAATGAGGCTCCGACAAATGATCAAGCCAGGCATCTTTTAACATTAGATATAAATTTGTGAGAAACTGACAGGACAAAGGAAGTTAGGGCTAAGCTACTCTTGGATGGTATTTACACAGACTGTTTGGCTCTGAGCTGTAAACTCTATCAATAACCGGCGCCTTTCAGGTGCAGGGAGGACACCTTTCACATGGGACTTTCCTGCATTCGAGGGAAAGTCAAGGTGCTCTTCTGCTTATCGAGTAACTTTATTTTCTTTTTTTAAGATTCTATTTATTTATTGAGAGGAGAAACATCAATGTGAGGTTGCCTCTCTTGCGCCCCCTACTGGGTGGGCACTTGGCCGGCAACCCAGGCATGTCCCTGGACTAGAAATCGAACCAGAGACCCTTTGGTTTGCAAGCTCGCGCTCAATCCACTGAGCCACACCAGCCAGGGCTCAAGTAACTTTAATTAAAGTAACCAATATGCCATTATGTGATTGTTTGGGGATGGCTTTTCTTGGGCCTCAACATTCTCATTCTCATTCCTACTTACACGAGTCACCAAGATCTCAAAACATGTCCAGCACAGCTCCTTACCTTGGCCTACCCACCCCGCTTCCGTAAAAATGGCCCCAATATTCATCCAATTGGTAACTGAGTTACTGGACATCCTTGACATACCTTCCTCTCCTTAAACTCCTACATCTAATTTCTCACCAAATTCTTACATTTCTACTGCCTTTCACCCTCTTCCACCGCATCCGCATCCACGTCTCTCATCCAGGACCACTGAAAAAGCTTCTAAAACGAGTCTTTTCACAAGATAAACAAAGCCAGGCTACTTCCCCTTGACTGTGCCCCAGATGAGCCTTCAACCTCCAGCAAACCTCGCACAGCACTTCCCAACACAAGTTTTCGCTCGGATTTCAGAGCTCAGAACAGCTTTTCAAGCCAGGGGGCCCCCGCGCGGCCGCAAACTCTAGTCACTGTAAGCGTCTCAACGCCGTGGTCGCAAAAAACGTCGTAACTGAACGGCACTTTCAACGTGTAGGGCGGGACTGCGTTTTACAAACGGGACCGTGACGCCCTGCGTTCTTTCTTTCCAGCCGGCGCCAAGCCATGGGTGAGTTTCGCTTTGTGTTGGGGCCATGGTAGAGAAGCGAGCTCAATCCGGCACCATCGTGCCTCGCAGCCAAGTTAGCAGAGTCAGCGCCCCGATCCTCAGCAACGAACAGCCATGAGAATGGTTGTGCTTGCGTTTGAGCTGCCGAGGCTGGCGCTGGAGCCCGTAGGAGGGCCCGAGCCGGGACGGCCGGCGTCACCAACATGGCTGCCGTGTTAAAGGGCGCGGGCTGGCCAGCACGCGTATGATGACACCCTTAGTACTGCTGCAAACCCCCGAGTGCTCAGTGGGGAGGCCAACCTTGGAGAACTGAGCGTGCGGCCAGTCCAGCGCCGGGGTCTGGACCTGGTAAGGGCCGCCCCCCTCGTCCCAGTGGTTAAAGCCTCGGTCCCTGATCCCTCATACAGGCATCTCTCGGGACAACTGGCACAAGCGCCGCAAGACCGGGGGCAAGAGGAAGCCCTACCACAAGAAGCGAAAATATGAGCTGGGGCGCCCTGCAGCCAACACTAAGGTGCGTGCGGGTGCTTCACCCTCCGGAGGTTCCCCCTGCCACTGGTCTCCGTGGTGCTGCTCTGCGCGTGGCTGTTGAATCTCTGCGGGGTTCAGGGATGTTCGGGGACTGAGTCGCCTCTTCCCGATCCCCTCCCCGGCGAGTACTAAAGAGACTGCGGGGAGACGTGCTGTGTGTGTTGGGATTGAAGGGCGTCTGGAGGGCGTGGGGTCCGCAAATTATAGGCAGAAATCTGGGGTCTTTGGTGGGTGAACACTTGATTTATAGTGTTTGAAACCAAGTTTTGTTTAGTGTCCGTCCCCCTCTTGGAGGTAACCAGAATGATGAAAAAAACATCCTTAGGCGTGCGTGGTGTGGCCGTCTTGGTCACCTATGTGCCACGTGCCAATGCTAGGACTTGTCATAGTTACACTGACTGTTTCCTCCACCTAGCCCAGGTTCCCTTTTCTCTTGTGGTACTCTCCCTCATAACCTAGTTCCTCTCTCCTTGTGTTTCCTAGATTGGCCCCCGGCGCATACACACAGTTCGGGTGCGAGGAGGCAACAAGAAGTACCGAGCCTTGAGGCTGGACGTGGGCAACTTCTCCTGGGGCTCAGAGTGTGCGTGAGGCCCCCGTGGCAGTGGGTGGGAACTCAGCACCTAAACCCTGTTGAGTTTCAGTAAGGGCTTTTGGCAGGAAGGTTCATGGTCTCCACTGAGAAACTGAAGCTTCTTCAAACAACCTGAAGGTTGTAACCAGGGAAAGGGGCTGAATCTAGAGATGGTGAATGTGTGGCTGTCAGCCACCTCTGGAAAGATGAGGTGATGCCCTGTGGCTGGGTAAAGGCTTAGAGGAGGCCCTGTTACGGTTAGTGTGGTGGGGTGAAGGCCAGGCCAGTTGGCCTCTGGTTCAGACCGCTTGATTCTGAATTTCTGTGAACAGGTTGTACGCGCAAAACAAGGATTATTGATGTCGTCTACAATGCATCCAACAACGAACTGGTCCGAACCAAGACCCTAGTAAAGAACTGCATCGTGCTCATTGACAGCACACCATACCGACAGTGGTACGAGTCCCACTATGCACTGCCCCTGGGCCGCAAGAAGGGGGCCAAGCTGGTGCGTATTTGGGGAGACTCCCTGTAGAGGTTGGGGGGAGGCCAACCTGATTCCAGCCTTCTTGTGATGAAATTCTGTCCAGTTCTGCTACTGAAGGGAGAGAGATGAAAGCCTTTAGTGCTGAGGAAGGCAGCAGGAGTTGGGATGTGCAGGGTTTGAGGCTGTGGTGCTATTCCTTCCTAAGCTAGGATTTGAGGGCTCCCAGCTAACCATCTGTCTCCTTTATTCAGACTCCTGAAGAGGAAGAGATTTTAAACAAAAAACGATCAAAGAAAATTCAGAAGAAGTATGATGAAAGGAAAAAGAACGCCAAAATCAGCAGTCTTCTGGAGGAGCAGTTCCAGCAGGGCAAGCTTCTTGGTGAGATGGCTGTTGGGTTGGGGGGTGGGGAGGTGACACGGTACAGTGTGCCCTCTACATTTTACCCGTACTTCGTCCCTGCGACCCCCAGCCATGTGACAGCTTAGTGATACCAGTATACAAATTCACATCTACGTTAGGTCAGCCCATCAGTGTGAAGCTAGAATATGGATAATGGGCATCTGCCTGAGTTTCTGCAGCAGTATTTTGAGAGGTTGGTGTGTAGGCTGGGGGCTGTCTCGGTGATGAAAACTTGGTCCAGTTCTGCTACTGATTCAAAGTGACGATAAAGTATATCTGAGGAGACAACAGGTTTCATACCTGCCCCCAGGGTGCCCTGAACCAGTGAGGTTTGGTTTTTTTAAGGGCACATGGGTATGGGTAGGGCTGGATTATTATTGTTTTGCTAAGGACCCTATACTCTCTTGCAGCATGCATCGCTTCAAGACCAGGCCAGTGTGGCCGAGCAGATGGCTACGTGCTAGAAGGCAAGGAGCTGGAGTTCTATCTGAGGAAAATTAAGGCCAGGAAAGGGAAATAAATCCTGTTCCATTTAAAAAAAAAAAAACCAAACACCAGATTCCTCTAATAAAGGTGCTCTGTGTTGTGTTGTCTGTGTTGTGTGAATGCTTGATCAGTGTGCTGCAGAGGACCCTCCTTCCCGAAGGTCCGGCCCATTGTTAGGTAGGCTGTGCCTTAATATACCGGATTTTGCCGTGTATATCGCACACCTTTTTGCCCAAATTTTTGAGGGAAAAGTAAGAATATGTATTACATGTGGGTCGTTTACTGGTACCTAAAATTTCTTGTATGTTTTGTAGTTATGTTACATAAAATTTCTCGTACCATAATATCTTCAAAGATCCTAAAATTCCTTTGTGACACAAAAAACGCGTAAATAACTGAACAAAATTTAAAATGAAGGGTTTGTCTCCCTGAAAGTTTGGGCCAAAAACGTAGGTGCACGTTACATGGAGTGTGATAAGGTACTAGGTGGACCATTTCTCACCCCAAAGTGGGGGCAGGGATGTGGCATGTAGGCCAAGCAGATGGTATTGGGGGTCCCAGTGTTGGGGTGTTGAATGGACCTTGACCAAAGTAATGTTGCATCTAAAGTTGGTCCTTTTAGCCAGGTCTGCTGTGGTTCAGCGGGTTGGGCATTGTCTTGCAGATCCAAAAGGTCGGGAGCTTTATTCCAGGTCTGGGTACCTGCCTGGGCTGCAGGAGAGGTGCTATTGTCCACATGCAGATTTGGCCCCTTGAAAGGCTTTGAAATGCCCAATACCCCGTGCTCACCCAGCAGAGGAACCAGTATCATAATCCAGTCCACTGACAAATGCCAGCGGCTGCACTCAGCCTCCACCTAACCACTCCTGCCTTCCGAGTCCTGGCATTTGTCATCCTTTCACCTTATGTTCATTTTTGACATTCACCAATTTCTTTAGTGGAGACTGAGCTCAGAAGACAGGGCCCTTAGAGGTGCTCAGTTCAGCAATGGGTCCATCTAGTGCCCTGACCTATTTTTCAGAAGGTTCTCTTCCCACCAGCACTGTATCCCACCACGGATTCGGACTGCAGCCTTCAGCCCTTCTCATCCATACCCCATGCCGTGTGGGGTTGGAGGGAGTGAAAAAGTCTAGCCTGGGTGGGGTGTGGCTAACTGCCCTCACATCCCAGTTTAATCAGCGTCCAGGCGGGTTCCCAGACCCTTATCTCACCATCTGGGACACCAATTCAACTGTAAACAATTGTGACTGTGCAAGTAATATATTCTCGTTATAAGTAAAAAACCGAATATTACACATAAAACTGTCCACACGCACACTTTGATCCCTCTTCCCGAGTAAGGTTATCAGGATAAGGTATATTCTGAACCCCTTATGTATGATTCAAACTGTGATCCTTGAGCTCCAGTCCAGACCTAACGAATCAGAAACCCTGGCGTGGCACCTAGAACTTGACAAGCCTTCAGTAATGCCCATGGCTCCCTCCAGTCTGCGGACAGGCCTAGCCCTCCACCGCCGAGTAAATGACCCGCACCGGGGCCGCAGTCCTCTACCTCACCCCATGTCCTCTTCCAGCCTCACTTCCCCAAACCATTTTACCTTCTCCCGCCAAGGCGGATACATTCCCAGCCTTGGCTCAGGCCTTCCCGCCATCTTCCTTTTTCAAATCCGTCCCTTAACGGCTCGTAGCAAACAGGAAGTGCCGCTCTACTGCAGCGGGGACGCTGGACAGGCACTGCCCACGAAGCGGCCCGCGAGGGGCGGGAGCAGGTGGGATCGGGGCTGGGAGAGGCAGGCAGGACAGCCTGGCCTGGCTGCCTCTGCTCAGGGCCCCTGGGCCTGGTCCCTGAACCCGCCACCTCCTGGTGGTCGCTGCCCTCCTCGGCCGGGAGTGCAGCAGACAAGGGGTCCGGGGAGGTCCTCGCGAGCCGCCGAAGTTCTGGAGGCTGACGTCGGGGTCAGGACGCTACGCAGCTGGGACCCTCAAAGCCAAGCCAGGGGGTGCATCCGCGTGCGGGATCTGGCGGGGGTCGCCGCCCACGCTCCGGGTGGCAGAGCCGGACAAACGGGCTTCCGGGCGGGTCTGCCAGGTGCTCCAGTTCTCCAGAGGGAGGGTGGGAGGGACGGAGTCATTGGCTTTCCGAAGAGTGGGCGGGGACCTGTGGATCGCTTGCTGGTTCAAGTCCTGCCTCCTCCAGCGACGGCCACTCACAGCAATTTGAAAGTGGATCCTAGGAAGAAAGGCCTCACCGATTGGGCCATGCGCCGAGCCTCCTTCCCTGTACAGGTCCTTCTGTGTAGGAGGCAGTTTCAACCACAGGGAGCAGGGACACTTGGAGTGGGCCGTGAGTCACAGAGATCCTCTCCCCCACGATGGGGCGCTGCCCCAGGCCCCTGCTCACCTGCAAGTTGCGGTCAATGAGCTGATCGGTTTCAGATTCATCGTCATCCTCATCAAAGAGGTTGATGATCTGTTCAGCGACCAGCAGGCTGTAAGACAGTCTTCTCCCCTATTCTCTGTCCCCAAAGTTGGGATGGGCCCTGGGTGCATGTCTCTGCAGAGCACGCTGGCATAACTAACTACGTGCCCACCAGCATAGAGGAAGAACTGCAGCAAAGTGATGAGAGACACACACATGTCCAGGTGTCGGAGCACTGGCCCTGGCTCCTGGCCAGGCTCCAGAGGCTCCCAAGGTTTGGCAGGGCCTGCCTCTGACTCCACAAACTGGCGGCCCACCAGGGAGAGGGCAAAGAAGGAGTATATTTCTGTGGTTACCACCTGGAGAAGGGGAACCCTGGCTGAGTGGGAGAGAAATGCAATCCCCGCCCCTCATGGTCTGTGGAGGGGTGTGGGGGGGTCTCACAGACAATGAAAACATGTAGCAAGATGCAGCAGCACCAGAGAGAATGGGGTCCCCTTCATGGGTGTCTAGGGAGGCTTCGAGGATGAGCCCTTGGCTGTTGGGTGCCTCACTAGACTGACCTGCCCCAGGGCAGGTACCATCTCTGATTCTTCTCAGTGTCTCACGGGGACTGGGAGGTGAGAGGCAGTCACTTGGGGGCAGACAAGAGGGGTGCTGGGCTCGGCTCCGTGCTTGTTCAGCTCCCGGTGGAAGAGCAGGAAGAGAAAGTCAGTGAAAGTGAAGAATGGACGATGGACGATGGGAAAGAACAGGGGAGCCCAGCACAAACAAGGCCTGGCCTGGCCTGGAGGCTCATTCTGTTCTCAGAGGTGTAACCAGGCTGGGATGCCTGTGATGGAAAGCAGTTTAGCAAAATAACTGTAAGTGCAGAACCTGGAGCCAGAATGTTTGAGAATGACTTCCAGCTTCCCTAATTATCTGTGTGACTTGGGCAAATTTTTTTTCCACTCTGTGCCTCAGTTTCCTCATTCTTAAAAGGGGAGTGGTAATAATAGTGCCCATCTCAAGGATTGCGAGGGTTAAATGTGTTAATAATAACACAGTGCTTCCAACAACATGCAGTACATCGTTGGTACCATGTAAGTGTTAAGGATTAAAATTATGATTCCAGTTTGCAAAGCTAGGGGAAGGAAGGCAGATGGGCCTGCTCCTGGGCCGACTCACTCCCAGGAGCAGGCAGAGAGCGGTGCCATCACGGATTTGCCCATCCTTCTAGGCCCCGGATGCCAGGTTGGTGAGCCAGGTATGGGGGACCCAATACTTGTTGAAGTCAGATTTCAGGCTCTCAAACTTTTTCCTCGCTTCCTGAGACGAGGAACTTGCAGAGATAAAGCAAGTGGGGAACAGACTCTGCCTGTAAAAGCTGGGGCCCTGGAGCTCCCCCTGGGGGTCAGACCTCCCCTCCCTCGAGGCATGTGAGGCACCTGCACCCACCACCATTCACTCCATGGTGGGGAAACACTTGAGCACCTGGGTGCTGGCAGAGTGCAGCAGGAGCACTGCTGCTGGGGGGGTGGGCGGCACAGCAGACAAGGGTGTGGCGAGGCTGGCAGCCACGCTGGTCCAGGCTGTGCACCGTGGCCGAGATGATGCCCATCAGCTGGTCAGGCAGTGGGATGTTTGTATACTGCACCCACCAGCAGTTTGCCACCAAGGTATAGGAACCTGCTTGCCCCCAAGGGTAGGGGGGATGGGAAGGGGAGATGGAAGGCCTGGGAGTCAGTGCACTCTGCCACTCAGCCGGAGCGCCAGGTCCAGGCCACGGTGAACCAAGGCAGAGGGAAGGACACATTTAGCTCCAGTGCCCTGACTCGCTGTCAGGAAGATAACCCCTTCTTATGGACCCAGTATGATATACAAAGAGGAAGGAATGCAACTCTTCTCAGGTAGAGAAGTGGTCATTCAAAGTCGAGTAAGGGTGGACTCTGAGCCTTGCTTCCATGAGGATGAGGCTGAGGTGTCATCTCTTTCCAGCTCCCCTCCAGTACCCAGAGGTTGGTGACACCAGCCAGCAGGTGGCTTGGGCCTTGTCTAGGGTGAGGGTCCAGCAAGTGGTAGGCGAGTCCTAGCCCCAGGAAGTCCTGGACTTGACACGCAACTCCCATCCCCTCTGGGCCTGTCTGCCCTGGCTGACCTCCAGGCTGTGCGGCTGGAGTAATTCTGACCCACAGAGCTATCAGCCAAACCCACAGGTCAGGGAAGACAGTAGGGATGATACCAGGAAGAACTAAAGGGAGCCTTATCTGGGACCAAGGATAAGGGGATGAGGTCTGCAGAGTGGTTGCATTATCAGGCCACCCGAGCATGCACATGCCTTGTTCCTGGGTCAGCAGTAGCCTGGGGAAAGGTCAGGTGCAGGCCTGGGTTAGAGGGAGGTGGGCAGCCTAGTCTCCCACAGACCAACCCTGAGACCTCGCCCTGGCACCGGTGGGCGATGCTGAGCAGAGCACACAGGACGACGAGGAGTAGGAACTCCTTGCAGAGGAGCTTGTAGGTGACTACCCTCCAGTGGAGAAGCAGCCAAGAGAAGCCTCCGAAGCGGGCCTCTGCCTCATTGGGGGTGTATGAAACTGTTGTGGCACCGGGGGCCTGGGGAAGGAGGTCACAAGAGCTGCCCCTCTTCCCCAGTAAGCCTTTTCTTTTTTTAAAAGGGTTTTTTTGTTTGTTTGTTTTAGCCCTGGCTGGTGTAGCTCAATGGACTGAGCTCAAGCTTCGAAGCAAAGAGTTGCTGCTTTGATTCCCAGTCAGGGCACATGCCTAGGTTGTGGGCCAGATCCCCCATGAGGGCCATGTGAGAGGCAACCACGCATTGATATTTCCCTCCTTCTCTTTCTCCCTCTCTTCCCCTCTCTCTAAAAAATAAATTAAAAAAATAAAATTTAAAAAAGGGCTTTTTTTTTAGTAAAAAACATCAGTTTGTTGTTCCACTTACTTAAGCATTCATTCGTTGATTCTTGTATGTTCCTGACCCACACACGATATCAAACCTGAAACCTTGGCACATTGGGATGATGGTCTAACCAGCTGAGCCACCCGGCCAGGGCCTCAAGCCTTCTTCTTCGCTTGCCTTCTCATCACCAAGCTTAGTGCCCCAGGCAACCTCCCTTCAGCTCCGTTCATCCACACCCAGCCTTCAGCCCATGTCCTGTCAGTAGATGAGGTGGGACGAAGCTGCAGAGCAGACCCAGCACACCCCCATTCCCTCCAGAACTCAGCGGTGCGGGGGTCATGCCAGGATGGGGTGGCAAGCTGAGACCTAGGCCCTTTTGTACATGAGGCTTCCCCAGGCCCCTCTTCCCCTTGTAGGGCTAGGAAGAACCAGAGCTTGAACCACTAAAAACAGGAGATTCAACTCTAGCCCCGACCCACCACTATCTCTGGGGGTCTTGTTCTCGAAGCCGATAGCTCGTCTCCAGTGGCCTAGGACATCCTCACCCCCACCCCGCACCTGCCTGCCTACCTGCTCTGGGCAGCAGCCTGCATTGAGGAAGAATCCCTGGGCTGGCCTTCACCCTCCCCCTCAACATACAGACACACACTTAAGTACCTGCTGGGCCCACTGAATTTGACTGGACTGAGCTGATCATTGGTGGATTCAGGCTGTCGCCCAGCTTCCCCTGGCCCTAGGAACTAGATGTGTCTGGCTAGATATGTCTGCAGGGCTGGGCTGGCCTGTGAGGGATGGAAGTGCCATCTGAATTGACTCCACAGCTCACATGGGTGACACCTTGTCCTTGAAGTCAGGTTGACAGGGATTACTGTCCCACACTGGTCCAGGTGAGAAAACAGACACATGATAAATTGTTGCAATCATAACAGCTGCTGATCACAGAGCCCTGACTAAGTGACAAGTACTGTGCCAGGGGTGTCACTACGTCATCCTCTCGTAGACTCCTTACAGCAACTGCATGAGGCAGGAATCATCCCCATTCCGTAGATGAGGCTCCAGGAGGAGCCTGACTTGCCCCAAGTCATGCAGTGCTGGGACATGCTGGAGGCAAAATTCAAAGCTGGAGTGGATGGATTTCAAAGGCTGGAATTCGCCCATCTGGGCCTAAACGAGGGTTTGCACCCTGGGGCCAGGGTCCTGTCACCAGCCTCACTGCCAGGCTTCTAGCCCGCAATCTGGGGGAGCCTGGCCTGGCCCTTCCCTGTTCCCATTCCATGGGGCTGATGAGGCCGCAGATCTGGGACTTGGGCCTGGGGATGCAGCCCCTCCAGCCATGTGCAGCATCCTGATTCCTAGGGTGCCCAGGAGCTTCAGTGGCATTTCTGCTATCAGGCTTCAGCTTCTTCATCTTTCAAACAGAGGAAATAATGCCCAAGGCACCAGCTCTGATGTCCACCCAGTGCCAAGGTCACCCACAAAACCCCAAGAGTAATGGTCCTGCTTCTGACCTGTTTGGGGAGCTCCTTTTCCCACACTGTGAGCTGGTTCCCACACACGAGAATTTCCTAAAGAGAGCCCCAGCTTGGAAGTTAGACATACCTGGGTTTAAATTCTAGCTCTCTGTAACCTTATGCAAGTTGCCTAATCTCTCTGAATCTTAGTTTCCTTCTCTGCAAAACAGGATCAATAGCACCTTCCTCACAGGGCAACTGGGAGTATTCAAGGGAAGGATGCCCAGACAGAGCGCAGAGCCCTGCAGACATTTGGCCCAGGCTACTATCAGCTGCTATGGCCGTGAAAAGCCAAATCCCTTTGGTTCCACCTGCGAGTCCACTGTCGAATCCCATAACCAGGTAATCCTTCAGAGAAGAGATGGAACTTTTCCCTGAAGTCTCACCAGCCTGTCCCAAGCCAAACAGTGTCAGGATCTCGTTTTTAAGCTGTATGCACGAAGCTCTCTGAGACGCCCCGGTGTTATCTTCATCCTGCATCACCAGCTTCTGGTCCAGCTCCTTTTCACGGTTTTTTCCTTCACCATCCAGCTCAGAGCATACTCTGGGAAGCCTGCTATGACCTTCCCCAGGGTGCTCCTCAAAACCCTCTAGGTTTCCTCTCTCCTCTCGAAGCAGGTAACCCTACTGGGCTGCCATCTGTCTGCTGGGAGATCTCCCCTCCGGCCCTCGAGATCCTGGAAGACAAGATTGGGTCTGATTGATCTTGATAAAGCTGGAGAGGACTTGAACCCGGGCCGGTTTTCCTTTGTTTTTGTTTTTATGTTTTGTCCCTTTTAACCTTAACGACATCTGGTCCCTTCCTTCTTTTCCATAAAGGATTTCTTGGATGAGCAAGGTCTAGAAACCTGATGGCCTGATAAGTCGTGTCCTCCTTCCAGGGCCCAAGTGGGAAGTTGATATGAGGAAAGAGGAAGACTGGACCTGGGGAGAACGAGACACCAGCTCCAGGTCTTCTGGCCATCATGGACACGCAGCCCTTTCTGCAGCTCTGATCTGGGGCTTTCCTATAGCATTCTGAGCTGTTTAAGTAACTCCTTAAAGAGTTGTACCTGGGAAGCCAGGCTCTGGGACTGGAGGAGCTCAGGGGCTCCTCCCTGACTGCGGTCCTTGAGGTCAACCCAGCTGGCTGCATTTTGATCCTCCACCGCCATCCCCATCTATGACCCTCACACTTCTGCCTGTTACCAACTCTGAATCACTGGGCTGTGATTCCCCACAGAGCTTCCAGGAGGGGCTCAGGACCTGAAGCCTCTGCCAGAGGAAGGGATTGGTCCCCAGGGCTTATCCAGCCCTTTCCTCCTGAGTCCGCTAACCTCCCTTCCCAGCTGCTGACAGGTCCACTTTGGTTTATGGTCCAGGAGGGGAACCACTCCACCGTAAATCATCTGACCCACCCCTCTTTGTCTTCCTCCAGCTCTTGCCTCTCCTCTTGCCTGGCTCTGTCCCTTCTGCTCCTATCAACCCGTGCGCCTCTCTCCCCGCTCCTCACAGCCCAGAGCTGGATTTATGGCTTGGCAGATTACAGCATGGAGTCTGGGGCCAGACTGGTCAGTTTCAAACCCAGACCCCACTGTGAGCTACTTTTGTGACCTTGGGCAAACCATTTAACCTCCTGGGACCTAATTTCTCCATGGGGAAATGGGAATGATAATACCTACCTCATAGAATTGTTGCAAATGTTAAACAAATTAATATTTACAAAGTGCTCGGAATAGCGAAGCGCATGGTAAGTCTAATGCTACTGAGGCTATAAGCATCTCCCTTCTCTCTGGTACGGCGTTAGCACGTCCACCTCGGCACCTACCAAGGTCTCTATTGCTGAGTCCAATAGCCCTTCCTGAGTCCTAGCCTTACTTGGCATCTCTTATTCTTTAAACAACAACAACAACAAAAATTAAAACATTTTATTTATTTAGAGAGAGGGAAAGGGAGGAAGATAAGAGAAACATTAATGTGTGAGAGATACATCATTAGGTTGCCTCTCGCTGGCCCCCAACTGGGGAATTGGCTCACAATCCAAGCATGTGCCCTGACTAAGAATCAAACCTGCAACCTTTTGGTTCACAGGCTGTCGTTCAATCCACTGAGCCACACCAGTCAGGGGAAAAAAAGAATTTTTTTGTATTGATTTGAGAGAGAGGGAAACATTAGTTTTTGTTGTTCCACTTAGTTAAGCATTCATTGGTTGATTCTTACATGTGCCCTGACTGGGGATCGAACTTATAACCTCGACATATCAGGAGGGCACTCTCACCAACTGAGTTACCCTGCCAGGGCTTGCATCTCTCATTCTTGAAAGATTCCCTTGGCTTCCTCAACCTGACATTATGAAGAGATTCTTGATTCTGAGCTGCCAAGTGAGCCAGGAGTGTGGACATGTGCTCACTAGGAGCAGCGGGCCTGACAGCACCCTCTGGGGGATGGAGGTACAGAGAGCTCAGTAAAACCTCAGCAGGGACAGGGGCTGTGAGTCCCATGGGGAGAAGAAAGAGCATTAGTAAGAGAGACGTGGATACACAGAGTGCTGTAGGAGGACGGATGCAAGGACAGAGAACCAGTAACCCCTAGAAAACTCAGCGAATGGCACATAGTCGAGTCAGTTTCCTCATCTGTGAAGTAAAGATAATAATCACACCCACATCATAAGGCTACTGTGAGCAGTCAGTGAGATAAATGCTCAGCCCTAGTGCACGGCAGGAGCGTACAGTCCATTAATGGTAGCCTGTGTCACACTGAAGGCAGGGGCAGAGCAGACTGCCAGGCCCTTCGGTTACCGCATCTAGGAGGACCTCCTCCTGCTGTCTTGGCTCCCAGAGAGGACTCAGGAACCTTGTTAACCTCCCAGGGGGAGGCGGCAGTGAAGGGTAACAGAATGTGCCTGAATAATAGAACACCCCCAATATGCCCTTTTTTGACATGTTTCAAGAGCTGTAGGCTCTTGAAAAACAGCAACTGCAGAAAGAGGCTTTTCTTGAGTTTCCCTTGTCTGCCTAAAGACAGATCCTCCAAAAGGAACTCCACTGTCATAAATCTGCCTCCTGGGAGCGTCATCGCATATCACAGGAGACAGAAAAATCTTATCACATCTAGACAAACTCCTCTGTCACAAGCTATCTCCCATCCATTCTCCTTTGGGCCCACTCATTTTTCCTAGAAATCACTTACTCTACCCTAAGGGGCTTACGTTCTCCTTCCCTTTTCCTTAAGATGATGTTTAAACCTGAATTCTAAGCCACACAGGAGAATTGTTCATTTTTCCCTGGGTCCCTCCCATGTATATATATAAATTATCCATGTAAATAAACTTGTTTTCCTGTGAAAATAACACTTTTCACAGCCTACAATTACCTTATTTATATATCTGTCTGTTGTATATTTCCATCAAGAAGATTGTAAATTAAAGGAGGACTAACCTTGGCCAATCTTCAAAAAATTTTTTATTTTATTTATTTTTAGAGACTGAGGAATGGAGGGAGGAAGAGAGGGAGAAACATGCATGTGGGAGAGAAATTATCATCTGTTGCCTCTGGTGCGTCCCCTGCTGGGGACCTGGCCCGCAACTCAGGCATGTGCCCTGACTGGGAATCCGGCCGGTGCTGTCTGCTGGACCAGGGCTTGACCAGTCTTATTCACACTGTGCTAGGCACTTAGCAGGTGCTCTCAATAAATCTTTGAGAACCGAATGGCTTAGTAATTGATTGCATCATAGAGTGAAGGCAGAAAGGTGAGCGGGACAAAGCTAGGAGGAGGTGTGTAACCCTCGGGCTTAAGACACTCAGAGGAGTTAGGACCCCACTTCTCTGTCTCTGGCCCGGGGAAGGGTGGGCATGGACCAGGGTTCGAGAGGTCCAGATGGGCCCTAGACCGCTTGCTCAATTCTCCATTGCTAGTCTGAGAACATCCAATTCCTATTCTTCACCTTCTGTCCAGGCTGCTGATTCAGGGCAGGGGGTATTTTCAGGGAAAGGGACCTCGCCGGAACCCTCAACCTGCCCCTCGAGTGTGAAAGTGGGTAGCGGAAAATGTGGCCCGAGTCATGGTAAAAACCTCGAAAGCCAGGCTCTGTTTGACCCTCAAACTCAGCAGGGTGGCCTCGGGCGCGGCTCTGTTCCTCCGCCCCCTGCGCAAGCCCGGTTCAACTCCGAAGTGCGCAATTTCTCCCAGGCCCTAAAGAGGGCAGCATCGAGCTGGGTCTGGAGGCTCTGGCCTGGAACTCAAGCTCTCGAAAGGGGAGTATTGGCGACGCGCCCGGGTGAAAGTAATCGCCGCCCTTGCCTCTCTGCCCTCCCGGCTGGAACTCTGGTCCACCTAGTTGCCGGGGAAACTCCCCAGATGCCCAGAACCCACTGGGACTTCGGCATAAACCCCAAAGGATTGGAAAAGAAATGGTCCCCCAGTGACCAGGGCGGGTGGATGGGGACGGAGCCTCGGAGGCCCCTACAGCACAGTGGACTCGGCGTGGTGACTAGCAGTATGGCTGCGTGTTTAAGGAGTGAGCAGAAGGCTGGGGCTCCAGGTGGATTGGGTGGGAGGAGGAGCTTCATGATGACGTAAGGCATGGGGAGGGCGGTGGCTTCTCGGTGACTCGCCGCCAGGAAGAGGGCGGGCTCTCCTGATGAGACGCCGGGGAGGGGGCAGGCGTTCATTGATAAAAACTCCGGCTCCCTCAGGCGCAAACTCAGCGTAGCAAATCCAGGCAGCGCCACGTACCTCCCCGGCCGGGCGGAACCGAGAACAAGCCGGGCCCGCGCTGCGACGCACAGTCCGCATGGAGCCCGAGGCTGGCGTACCGTCCCCGCGCCCCTTCCAGCGTGCGGACGCTCCGCCCGCGCCCCCAGCCGGGCCCGGGCCGCCTCCTAGTGCCATGCCAGGACTTGAACTGGAGACGCTGGCCGGGCCGCCGGCACCGGACCCCGGGCGCCTCATCACGGACCCAGGCAGCGGCCGCACCTACTTCAAAGGCCGCCTGTTGGGCAAGGTGAGCGGGGGTGGTTGGTGTTAGCGAGGGTGAAGCGGGGCCCGCGCCATCCTCTTTGCCCGCGCTGGTGTGATGGGGGCGCTTGAGACCTCTGCGGGCCAGATCCGGCCTCCCTTGGAGCACCACGCCTGATGCCCCCTCCTCATAGGGGGGTTTTGCCCGTTGCTACGAAGCCACTGACACAGAGACCGGCAACGCCTACGCGGTCAAAGTCATCTCGCAGAGCCGCATCACCAAGCCGCATCAGCGCGAGAAGGTGGGCCCGGGCCCAGGCCCAGCGGACAAGGGGTGGCTTGGGGACTGTGGCGAGGGAGCCCTTGAAAGATGACAACCCCAAACCCCTATTGCAGATCCTAAATGAGATTGAGCTGCACCGAGGCCTGCAGCACCGCCACATCGTGCGTTTTTCGCACCACTTTGAGGATGCTGACAACATATACATTTTCTTGGAGCTCTGCAGCCGAAAGGTGAGGAGTGGTGATGCCGAGTGAGGGTAAAGGGGCCTTAAGGTCCAAAGCTGGAGATCCTGCCTCGTCCTCGTCCAGCCCAGATGGCGGGAAGGCCAGGGAGGGCGGACGAGGGACTGAGACGGTGGCTCTCCATAGTCTCTCGCCCACATCTGGAAGGCCCGGCACACCCTGTTGGAGCCGGAGGTGCGCTATTACCTGCGACAGATCCTTTCGGGACTCAAATACTTGCACCAGCGAGGCATCTTGCACCGAGATCTCAAGCTGGGTGAGACTTCTGGGCCTGCATGTGGGGGTGGGGGTGGGGGTGGAGGTGGGGATGCAGAGAGGAAGGAGTCTGACGCACCTCTCCGCCCCGGTCTAGGAAATTTCTTTATCACTGAGAACATGGAACTGAAGATGGGGGATTTTGGGCTGGCTGCTCGGTTGGAGCCCCCAGAGCGTAGGAAGAAGTGAGTGTTTAAGGCGGGGGTGGGGCGGGGGTTGGCCACAGTCCGTGTGAGACTCACATGACGCGCCGGCAGACAGTATGTGGGAAGTGCAATGTCTGCCCGTGTCTGTGATGGATAGGGAGGGAATGATGGGCTGTTTGTGTGTGAAGGTGGAGGTGGTAGCCCGAGTCATGGGGACTGGTGGAGAGGCTGCCGGTCCCAAGGGTGTCTGAGTCCTTGAGACAGGTGGGGGTCTACTAAGGGTTCTTGGAGGCCAACGATGGGTCTTGTGTGTGCATGGGGGAAGGTGACATAAGCACTGTGTGTGTGAGACAGACCAAGAGTTGGGAATGGCAGGACATGACACCCTGAGTGTGTAAGAAGACCCTGCTGTGGCTGTGACTGGGTATGAGTGACACAGATAGCATGTGTGGCAGACAAGTGTTTATGGGGGAGCGACAGCTGGTGTTAGAGTGTGTATGTGGCACAGACCATAGGAGGTGGCGGCCTGTATGGGTGTCTGGCAGACGGGAGTGGAGGAAGGGATCAGTGGCGAGCCCTCCTGGAGGAGGAGTCTGTGTTGGGGGCCAGGGCCTCTCCCTGTCCTACAGAGCAGCTGAGCAGCTGGGCCAGGCTGGTGGGTGGGGACTCAGCTGCCATCCCCAGCGTCCATTGTCCCAGGACAAGCAGGAGTTCTCTGGCCTTTGGTGACAGGCAGCTGCTTTGTCTGGACTTACAGTGGGGGCAGGGATGGGGGGTGCTAGCTGGGCTGGGTCTGAACCTCCCCTTCTCTCTATCTCTTTTCAGGACCATCTGTGGCACCCCTAACTATGTGGCTCCAGAGGTGCTGCAGAGGCAGGGCCATGGCCCAGAAGCAGATGTGTGGTCCCTGGGCTGTGTCATGTGAGTCCCAGGTCATCTGCACGCAGATGCATGCATGGGTGGGGCACACCTTCCCCTTTATTACTGAGCCCTGTTCTCTGCCCCGCAGGTACACGCTGCTGTGTGGGAGCCCCCCCTTTGAGACTGTCGACCTTAAGGAGACATACCGCTGCATCAAGCAGGTTCACTACACGCTCCCTGCCAGCCTCTCGCTGCCTGCCCGGCAGCTCCTGGCAGCCATCCTTCGAGCCTCGCCCCAGGACCGCCCCTCAATTGACCAGATCCTGCGCCATGACTTCTTTACCAAGGTCTGTGGTTTACCAGACACCTGAGTCCCCTTTGCACATCCCCAGGGGATTGAATGGGGGCCGGTGGGGGACCCCCTGGCGCCTCTCTTCTGCTCACATGGCTCTACTCCTCAGGGATACACCCCCGACCGGCTCCCTGTCAACAGCTGTGTGACAGTCCCAGACCTGACACCCCATAACCCAGCCAGGATTCTGTTTGTCAAAGTCACCAAGAGCCTCTTTGGCAGGAAGAAGAACAAAAGTGAGTTTGGGAGACCGGTGGTTTTGAGGGTACAGAGCGGTGGCGGGGGGGCTTGTTACATACACATACCTTGTGGAGGTGTGAGTGTGAGTGCCTGTGAGCCCCTGGGGAGAGTGTGTGTTGCACAGGCACTTAACGTAAGCCAATCTGTATCTTCCCTGCGGGAAGCAGGATTCTGAGGGTTATATCTGCCCCGATCCAGGTAAAAACCAACCCGAGGAGCGGGATGAGGTTTCCTGTTTGGTGAGTGGCCTCACTCGGATGTCCGTCGGCCCTCAGGATGCCAGGCCTGAGGTGAGGTGCTCATGCAAGTGGTGTTCCCCTGACTCACCCCCATCCTAGCAGCTGTGGGAAGCTCGGGATAAAAGAGGCTGGTGAAGCATCTAGCCCTGTGGCAGCCTAATTGGCTGTGTCTCATTAGCCAGGCAGGGGTGACCTGGGGTGACCTGGGGTGCCCTGGGTGCCTGGGCAGGGCTGGGCCATGGGCTCTCAAGGATTTGGATGTCGGGGCCTGTCTCACTCTCTTGCCCTACCCAACCATCCAGGCTCCAGCAGCTTCCAGTCCAGCCCCCCTCAGCCTGGTAGAGACAGCACCTGAAGACAGCTCACCCCGTGGGACCCTGGCGAGTAGCGGAGATGGTGAGCAGCCAGGAATATGAGAGGTGCCAGAGGTTGCTGGGGCTCAGACCAGGGACCAGAGGGAAGGAGGGGAAGAAGGACATGGCCTGGGTCCTAGGGGACTAGTGCCTGGTTCTGAGTAGCCCATTCCCTTTAGGGTTTGAAGAAGGTCTGACTGTGGCCACCGTGGTGGAGTCAGCCCTCTGTGCCCTGAGAAACTGCCTGGCCTTCATGCCCCCAGGTAAGGTTGAGGTCTGGCAGTGAATAGTGGTGGGAATTCTTTGGCTGGGAGACCAGGGACAGGTCCTTACTGTTGCCTCTCCTACGGCAGCGGAACAGAACCCAGCTCCCCTGGCGCAGCCAGAGCCTCTGGTGTGGGTCAGCAAGTGGGTTGACTACTCAAACAAGTTTGGCTTTGGGTATCAGCTGTCCAGCCGCCGAGTGGCTGTGCTCTTCAACAATGGCACACACATGGCCCTGTCGGCCAATAGAAAGTAAGTGCTGTTATGGGGTGCCTTGCGTCCAGGCCATTGTACCTAATGGGGATCTAATGGGGATCCATCTTAGTATGCGCTCCTGGGCTCGGGGACTCGGGGTCTCCTAGGGGAGGGGCATCTGTGCGGGGCTCCTTCTGACCGCCATCTGCTCTCCTCCAGGACCGTGCATTACAACCCCACCAGTGCAAAGCACGTCTCCTTCTCTGTGGGTGCTGTGCCTCACGCCCTGAAGCCTCAGTTGAGTGTCTTGCGGTATTTCGCCTCCTACATGGAGCAGCGCCTCATGAAGGTGTGCGGGCTAGGGCGGGGCACCCTGAGCACTAACACACCCTAGTCCCTTCCTATTCCCCTTGGTGGAGGGGAGCAAAGCTGAAGGCTGAACCTCTATGGGCGATGTCAATAGGAGGGTCCTGACACATGTCAGACAAGTGACTTGTCCCTGCTCCCAGGGTGGAGACCTGCCCAGTGTGGAAGAAGTGGAGGTACCTGTCCCCCCACTTTTACTGCAGTGGGTCAAGACTGACCAGGCCCTACTCATGCTGTTTAGTGATGGCACTGTCCAGGTAAGACCTCCTCCTGGAGTTGGGGGGGGGTGGCCTGAGAAGCCCAGGATTGGGGGAGGAAATTGGACCTGGGGCCTGTGCCCTTATCAGTGGCACCTTCCTGTGCACAGGTGAACTTCTATGGAGACCACACCAAGCTAATCCTGAGTGGCTGGGAGCCCCTCCTTGTGACTTTTGTGGCCCGCAATCGGAGCGCTTGCACTTACCTCGCATCCCACCTTCAGCAGCTGGGTTGTTCCCTTGACCTTCGGCAGCGGCTCCGCTATACTCTGCACCTGCTCCGGGACCGCTGCTCAGCCTAGGCCCAAGTCTGCAGAGCAGGCTGTGACCCAAGCTCTCAGGCCTGAGGTCTGTGCCTGTAAAGGCCAGAGGGTCTTGCCTGTGTGGCCCTCCCTGTCCCTTTGGTGCCAAATTGGGGGCTCTGGGCCTAATCCCCCAGGGAATCAGGGACCAGCTTTACTGGGGTTGGAGGCTGCCTGTCACAGCTGCCTCCTACCCCTCCTCTAGGAAAGCCTGAGCCTTAGCCCTCTGCTAGGGGGCATTATTTATGGACCACTTTTATTTATTGATAGACATTTATTTATTGGGATGTGTGCCCTTGGGAGGGCCTCCTCCTGGGATAATAAACCATTTTGCAGAACTTGATGCTTCCTCACTCGTAGTAGAGCCCGTGGACCGTGGCCACTGCAAAGAGCGAGGCGTTGGTGAAGGTGGCAGAGGCCAGGCCATCATGTGCTGCATCCCAGAGCGCGCGGCTGACCACACGCACATCCTGGCCGGTGTGCTGCCCCAGCACGACGTTGCACACCAGCTTGTAGCGCGGCGGGCTGAGCTCTTTCAGGCGGATGTGCACCAGTTCGCACAGCTCACGAGCCAGCAGCCCGCCCTTGGTACCAGAGTAGCATTTGTCTCTCAGTCCCGCGGCCAGCGCTTCCTCCAGGGCACGTTGTGCTTGAGCGGCCTCCCAGCGCTCCCCAGGCGCTGGCTCAGTGCGGTAGGAGGGGGCCATCCTCCGGGGAAGGGCCAGGGGCAACCCCAAGAAGCTGACCCGTGAGCCTAAAGGAGGCACTGGGCCCAAGGATGGTCGCCTACCCCCAGGACCCATGCCTGGTCCAGCCAGTGAGTTGCGGCGGGAAAAGGAGGTGGCCAGACCAAGCACGGAGCCACGGCGGGAGGCTGGGCCCAGACCGGCTGGTCGAGCCTCATCAATGCTGGGCATGTGGCCTGGAGCCCTCACCAATGACAGTTTCAACCCGAGGTCTTTGGCTGCCTCCTCCTCCTGGCGTCCTAGGGGCACAGGCCGGCCAGCCATCAACCTGCTGGCTGAGGACCCACAATTGGATTGGGCGGCTTTCACTTGCCATCTTTGAGTACCACCCAGTTGCTTACTCAGTAACAAGGGTTTTTCTCTGCTAACCCCTTCTTACCTGTGTTTTTGAGACGGGTAAATCAAACAGTCCGGGGCTGAGTGGAGTCCCAGGTGCTTAGGGGGTTAAGGGCTGTTCAGGATACAAGCAAGGGAAGAGATGCTACTTGGACTGTCTTCTTGGGCTAGTCCCTGCACCCTGAGCTCCGCTTTTCCCTGGGCACTGTAGAGATTAGCTAATTAAGCTCCTTTTCTCCCTTTTACCTGACTGCCAGCAGAAGGGTAGACTGCCTTGTGCTTCAGTTTAAACAACGGTGCTGGCAATCCCTAACCAGAGGAGGGACAGGCAGACCCAACTCCAACCCCACAGGTCCTTCTTGCCCTTTGTGTACTGAAAGCCAGCACCTTACACCCCTACCTGTGCTTGCGTTGGTGGGCACAAATTTCTCCCCATAGCTGGCTGAGGCTGGAGGCAGATGACTCAGGAAGCTCCTTCCACCCTTTGCACTTGGGCTCTGGCCCTACCTCCACAGTCAGTTCTGGGATGGCTGCCTTCTCCTGAAACTCCCGCAGGCACCCTGAGTCACCTGCAGCCTGGCTGGCCTGACCCGCAGGTGGGAAAATAAGGGCCCCTGGCCTGTGTTGTGGAGTTGCCATGGGTTGCCAGGCAAACACTCCTCCCTCCCTAGTCCCCTCCCTTGGTCCTGCCTCTGGCTTAACATGGGAGTGTTAACCTCCCCGTAAGGGGAACACGTGCTGAGTACAGGGTGCCTGAGTCATGGGGGAGGGGGGGGACAACAGAGGCTTGGAGCCCAGGAACAATCTACCATGACAAGGACAACTGAGGCAGCAACATAGAGCGGGCTCTGATCAGAAAGGTATCCCTACCCCAGTGTTTTTAAGCCACTGTCCATTTCTCCCCATGAGAAGGGCTCCTCACTCTTCACTTGAGTGTAAGTGTGAGGCCTGAGAGATGGGGAGATGTTGAGGCTGTGGGGGCGGCTGCTCTGGAATCAGGATCTGGGCCCACAAGAAGCAGCGCATCGGGACTCTCCATGACTCTATCGGCTCTCCTTCCTTCCGTCTAAACAAGAGCAAACATTTCCGCTCCCGGTGCAGCTAGGGTGGAGCTTGGCTGATTTCCTGAACTCAAGGCTCCCTCTGCACCAGGGAGGGCGGGGTGGAGGGGCTGCACTGCACTCAACTGGGCTTCCGGGCTCCTGACTCCTGCTGACCCAAGAACTCTGAGGCTTCTCCGCAGCCTGCCACCTCTTGTGTTGCATTTCGGGAATTCCAGTGGCTATGACTCCTTTGTCAGAGCATGACACCTCCTCACCTGACCCCTCTCTGGGAGACACAGGACTGTCCCCTCCCAAATAAGCTCTGTCTGGGCCCTGAAAACTGCCCAGGGCTTTCCCTGGGCAAGGGCCTCTGGCCTGTGTTGTGAAGTTGTCACGGGTTGCTGGGTGAGCACTCCTTTCCTGGTCCCCTCCCTTGTGGAGGGGGTTTTCCCAGACCTGGCTAACCTGATCCTAACCCTGTGTGCATGTGGGTGGAGAAATGGGAGGAGCAGGGAGTTTGAACTCTGAGCCCAGGAGAGGCAAAGGCCAGGGTACTGAAACCCTTCCACTCTGCTTAGGCCCCTTCTGAGGTCTGAAGTTTTCCCTAGGCCTGTGGGAGTTGGGCGTGGCCTCCTCAGGCCAGACTCCAGTTTCCTTGGAAACCCACAGGCTTCCCACCCTAGTGATGCCTGGGCAGGCTCCCAGCTGGGGCCTCATTTGCAGCTAGCCTCTCCTCCCTGTCTAGTCAGCTCCACCTCAGCCTTTCTCGGTCCCCTCCCTGTGGCCCCCTCCCTGTGGCCCCGTTCCCAAGCCCAGCCCCTGAGCTCCTCCATCAGCCTCTAATGCCTTCTTCAGGAACCTGGGAGTCTCCTGCCCCATCCCTAAACAGCTTCACAACGAACAGGCTTCCCAAGCTCCTGCCCCTCCCTCTCAGGCCTTGCCAGTCTCCTTGCCAGCTGTAAGGCCTGGCTTGGCCTCCTCCTGCTCCTTCCCATCTGCCTCCTTCCACGTACCAACGATCACAGGCCTAGTAGGCTATTCCACCCACCTACTCCCCTGACCCAACCCATCCATGGAGACCCCCGGACTGGTTGTACATGGGGAGGCTGAGCCCTTTTCCACAGCACTCCGAAGCCTCGTCAACAACCGCCTATACAGGTGAGGGGGTTGGCGCTGACTGTGGGTTTTCGATAGCTGACCCCATGATTGAGGAAGCCCTGGGTACGGAAGAGGCGGGGAACTAGGACTTGACCTTGCTGAACTCAGATCTGTGACATCCTAAGAGCCAGAGGTTGAGGGCCAGCAGGGGCTGCAGTCCAGTGACTGTGTGACCTCGGGCAAAGGCTTTCCTATTTTTGGATCTTGGGCTCCTGGCCGAGAAGAGCCCTCTGCCCCCTGGGTCCTGAGAGATGGGATGTAACTTGAGTCCCGCCCTGGGGAGCCAGAGGAACATGACCCTGCTCTGGGAACTGGGGATTCAGAAGAGGAATCCCTAGCCCGCTTAAGGGGCTGAGCCAGCCTCAGAGGGGATGGAGGCAGTGCGAGGGTGCGCCTGGGGCTTGCTGTCTGCCTGGGGCTTGCTGTCTGCCTAGGATGCAAGTGGTGTCTGAAAACAGGGTAGAGTATGGGGACAGGACTGGAAGGGAGAACTGGAATGCAGCCTTCCATCCTCACTGGCTCGGAGCTGGGCTCCTCTGCCAGGGCTGATGACACCCGTGACCCTGCTGCTTCCCAGGGTCATTCCCGTGACCCTGCTGCATTCGGGGATGGCAGTCTGGTCTGAATAGCGGAAACCCCAGGCCTTGGCTCAGGGACTAGGAGGCTCCAGAAACTCAAGCTTCGTCTCCTGCCTCCCACTCACTGCGTTATCAGAGGCCTAGAGGCTAGGGCCGGAAGTGATCACGCAGATGGAAAATGTGGTCTGGCCTCTTGATGGTGCAATACTGCCACGTCTGTCTGCAGCCAATGCACTCGATACCCCCATCCTCCCACCCTCTCCTGCCTGGGACTGAAAAAGCTGAGTTTGCAGTCTGTGGAGGAGGAGCCAAGAAGAACTTCCCTCCCCCAGGACTCATGCTGGGGGGGAGAGGGGTGTGTAGGATTGATCTTGCATCCGCCCTGGTGCGCCCTCAGTGATCAGGCATAGCCACTTTCTCCGAGACTTACGAGTTTGGGATTACCACCCAGTTTCATGGGGGAGAGACCTGAGATTCAAAGGCAGAAAGTCACTTGCCCTCGGTACTATAGAATGGAGCTAGGACTACAACCTAGGCTTGCATGTCCCCGACCTTTGGCAGGAAGGACTAAGCCTTGTCTCTTATATGACAAACAAGGAAACAAAGGCCCGGAATGGGCAAATGCAAAGTGTAGAGTTGCACCCTGGACTCTGGCTTCTCCCTGGCTCTCTGCCCTTCTCTCCCACAGTGATGTTCGCTTTGTGGTCGGCCAAGAACGGCAGGAGGTGTTTGCCCACCGATGCTTGTTGGCCTGTAGGTGCAATTTTTTTCAACGACTTCTGGGCCCAGAGCCCAGTCCTGGGGTGCCTAGCCCCGTGGTGCTAAGCACCGTACCAGCTGAGGCCTTCCTGGCAGTGCTGGAGTTCTTGTACACCAACACTGTCAAGCTGCACCGCCATTCTGTAAGTCCATTGGGCAGGGATGTGAGAGGGAAAGGGTGGGTGGAGGGGCGGGGAAAACTCCCACTCCAACCACCTACTTTGCAGGTGCTGGAAGTGCTGACAGCAGCTGTGGAGTATGGGCTGGAAGAACTGAGAGAGGTGGGTTTGTGTGGCAGGTCCCTGCCTCGGTTCCTCCATTTCCCTTGCCTCTTATGGGCTCAGTTCGTACCCTGCCTCACACTCATTCTGTCCTGGAGAAGAACATGCACCAATCCAAGGAGAAGTACAGATATCTCTGTGTAAATAGGCATTTGTGTGTGCCTGTGTGCAGAAGGATACATGCAGGCTTGTGTGTGCTGTGGGGGCGTATGGCATGTTTGTGGATGGTGCTGTAGACACCAAGATAAGTCAGCCTTGATCCTCATTCTTCACAAGAGATAGACACGGGAAAACTCTCCTGTGCAGGGGGCCGGGCTACATGGTGTCTTCAGTCTCCAGATTGACCTTCCTTAACCCAGTGACATAAGAAGTGTGACAGATGAGGGTAAATGGTGCTGCGACTGTACAGAGGCCCTCTCTCTCTAGTCTCACCACCAGGGAGAGAGGAGAGCAAGGCTTCCTGGAGAAGGAAACATTTGTGTTGGGTCAGGTAGAATGGGTAGGAGTTTGTTAAGAGGGGAAGTGGAAAGATGGCATTCTAGTCACAGAGGCACAAAAGGAGCTGGTGAGACTTTCAGTGTGGCTGGACTAAGAGTGTGAGAGGAGGCGATGAGATTGGAGAGGGTGCCAGGGCCTGGTTCATGCAGGACCTTCAAAATTTGGGCTTCTTCTACGCAGAGGATAGTGTGGAGATTCATTGGAAGTTCCCATGAAGGGAGTGAGGATTTGGACGCTAAGGGGAGACGGGACGGGGATGGGAAAGATCCACCAGTCTTATAGGAATGGGGGTGGCAGCAGAAGCCCAGTGAAGCGCTTCCTAGCTTTGAGGGAAGTGTAACTGGCATGACCCAGTGCTTTTCTGGGTATGGGGATAAGAGGAAACCGCCATGGATGAAACTCAAGTTTCTAGTTGTGTTTTCCAGTGTCTTTAAGTCAGGAGAGAGGACAAGTAGAGAAAGGTAAGTGTCCTGAGTGAAAGGGAAAGTGGAATTTTTGCACGGCTCTTATTTAGTGTGATTAGTGGGGAGTGTGCTAGAAGTTAGGCTGCCATACTTGGCTTGCTAAGACTGAGGGTCTGGTGATTGATTACCTGTCTCCCCTGGCCTGGGAGCCCATGGGCCTGGGACTGCTAGGAGCCTTAGGTGGCTGACTGCTCCAAGCCTGCTCACTGCTTCTGGGGTGGAGTTGGGGTCTGGGAATAAGGATACCTCAGCACAACTCAGAATCATTTCTGTTCCTAGATATGCCTGGAGTTTGTGGTTAAGGTGCTGGATGTGGAGCTGGTTTGCGAGGCCCTGCAGGTGGGTGTTGCTGGACCAGGCAGGTAGTCCCCAGTGCCTAGGGCTGGGTAACATGGCCTCACTTACTTGATCTCCCTCATTTTGCTCCAGGTGGCTGTAACCTTTGGCCTGGGACCATTGCAGGAGCGTTGCATAGCCTTCATAGAGGCCCACAGCCAGGTACAGCTCCTCATTTTCCTACTCACAATCCCACACACCTCATTCTGTTCCTCCCTGACCCATTCTCAGACCCACAGGAGGCACTTCGGACTCGTGGCTTTCTGGAGCTGTCAGCGTCTGCATTGCTGCCCCTGCTGCGCAGTGACAAGCTTTGCGTGGACGAAGCTGATCTCATCCTGGCGGCCCGGAGCTGGGCGCGCGTGGGCGCGGTGAGAGGGGCAAAAGGGAACTCGCGCCGAGAGTGCTGAAGGATCGGGCGCAGGAACCCGGCGAGTGGGCGGCGGGCAGCAGGCAGCAGGCCAGGTGCCCGCCCCCCCCCCCCCCCCCCCCCCCAACGCCGTTCGCCCAGGCTCAGGGCTGGTGTTCACAGGCGGTGCTGGAGAGGCCTGTGGCCGAAGTAGCGGCCCCGATTGTGCGGGAATTGAGACTGGCCCTCCTTGCCCCGGCGGAGCTGAGCGCCCTGGAAGAGCAAAACCGGCGGGAGCCGCTCATTCCGGTGCGGACGCGAGGATCCAAGCTCAGATCTACTCAGCAGCATGGGGGAAAGGCGCGCGAGGGAGGGCAGTCCACGGTTGCGGGATGAGGGGGCAGGGTGAAGGTACTGGGGGACTCCATGGTGACCGGCATTCCCCTTCAGGTGGAGCAGATCGTGGAAGCGTGGAAATGTCACGCTATGCGGAGAGGGAATGCGGCCCGGGGTGCCTCGTGCCGCCGCCGGAGGGGCACCCTGCCCCGGGATCATCATCGCTTTCTGGACCTGCCCTTTAAGTGACCAAAGGCCAGGTCTTGCAAGGAATTCTGGGCCTGTCTCAAACTACATCTCCCGACATGCTCTGGCCTCGGAGCTGGCTTCTGCTCCCAGCATGCTCGGCGAGCGAGGCGCGGCAAGGACGTTGCCCGCCTAGCGCAGTGCCGAGGGGGAGGGGAGGGCGTGGGCTTGGTCTGGGCCTGCGTCTAACCTCCTGGCCACGCTAAATACCGAAGTAGGTTTAACTCGCTCTCAACACTCAGTCCCGGGGCACTGTCGCCCGTTCCGGGTAGTCTTATAACCATCTCATAGCTTTTCAACTCCAGTTCCTTCTTTCATTTCAGAGCTGCCTCCGGAGATCGCTTTCTAAATGCCCCACGAAACCTCACACTCATTTCCAAATTGAGCGTCCTCTTCTTTCCCCAGTTCTGACCCCATGGTGTTGCTCATTTCCGTGGGTGCCCAAGCCAAGAAACCTCGATCTCATCCTGGCCTTATTCCTCTTCACATCTGCTTCCCCTGGCTTCTGCCATCTGAGAAGGGTAGCCGAATATGCCAAGCCAAAACAAGCCGTTTTTTGGCCTAAGGATTGTTTAAAGATGACTATTTTGAGAAACAGAAGAAGCTCTGAAAATAGAGTACAAGTTACCCTTTTGTAAGGGAAATTTATATTTATACAGGAAATCTCCATTCGTAAGGTCGCCTCCCTTCCTCTTTGTACCAGGAAAAGGATGACGAACTCAAGAGAATCGGGTGGAGAGAAGGCACCATTGAAATCTGCCTAACAAGCCTTACCCTTGTTTACTGTGTTTTCCCTGGTGGCCCTGCACTTCTCTTGCTTTTGTCTTTAGCTGAAGATGGTATTTAAGTGGACATTTTAAGCCACCTTCGGGCGTTCTTAATTTTTCCCTGGGTATCTCCCATGTGTACATGAAATATACACATTAATAAACTTGTTTGATTTCTCATTTTTTTTTAATTACAGGGGTCTCAGCCAAGAACTCAGAGGAAAGATTATTTTTCCTCCTTTACAGATTTTTACAGCCAGTTCAACTCTTCCAGCCCCAGTTCTGTCAATACTATCTGTGGCAGGAATTACTGCAGAGTTCTAATTAGTCTTCCCGCCTTCATTCCAGCGCCCACCCCTCAAACCCCAACCATTTCTCACACTGTACCTAGACTTAGCTGAGATTGTCAGCCTTCCCCCTTTATTAAGTCCCTTAACGTCCCCATTGCCCTCACGACAAAATATAATCTATTTCACTTTCAGGGTGCTCAAAATTTACTAGTGGCTGCAAATAGCAGCGTTTCTTTCATGAGTTCATTGGTCCTGAAGGCACTAGTCCTCTGGCTCTGGATTTACTCTTCTGGTGACTGAAGACTCTCCATGCTACATCTCTCATTCATTGCGCACTTTATCTTCCTGGGGGTCTGAATCTCCCTGAGAAAGATCCCTGGAGTAGGGCCTTACTAATTTCTGCTTCCTCAGTGCCTGTCACTTAAACAGTGCTCTGTAAGTGTTCGTTTGACGTTTTTCCTTATTTAAATGCTGTTTTATTCTCTAAAGAGTTAAAAGGGCACAGAAACAGGGACAGGGCTTGTTCAAGGAAAAGATAAGCCTTTTACTAAAGAAGTCAAAAGGCCTAGGGCGTGGCCACCCACCATGGCCTGGCCAATTAGGGTTTATGATCAGATCACCCTGTGCGGTTTGTTTCAGTTAGATTTATTATGCTGCCCCCTTTCCACCCACAATCCCTTTTGCTAAAAGAAAAGGTAGTGTTGGAGAGGAAAAAAGTTTTCTTTGCCCCTTTTCGGGTCCCTGGGTGGATCTGAAATTAAACAGACAAGGACATTAACAGGAGTAAAAGCGTATACATTTACTAAAGTTTTACATGGCATGGGAACTGAAGACTGGAAGAAAGCTTAAACATGAGTATTTGTGTGCTAGGTTCAGTGAAGAGTGGACAGTTGCAGAGAAATACGACAGGTCGAAGAGTATGAGGCGAGTGTAACTGGTTAGGTTCTGTTTGGAGTCCCTTTATCTTTGGAAATCAGGATGCCTTCCCTCCTGGTGTGGGGGATGGTTCCTCTCACCTCAGGTTTCAGGACCCGTTGTTAGGGAGAAGGGAGTGCGGTGAGGGTGTCCCCAAACAGCAAGTGGGGTCCTGCTGCCCTCAGGTGCCCTCTAAGCAAAGTTCCAGAGGCAAAGTTTTGGTGATAAAGGAAAAGAGTCTTTATTGAAAAGCTTCACAGTTTTGGATAACAGCTTTCTACATACATTAGTCACTTAAACCTATAGATTAACACTAAATTCTTTAACTTTTTTTATGTTTAAAAAAGTCTTTTAAAGACTTTATTTATGTTTCTTTTTTTTCTTTAAACATTGATGGGTGAGAGATATATCAGTAAGTTGCCTCTTGCACACCTCCAACCGGGGACCTGGCCCACAACCCAGGCATGTGCCCTGACTGGGAATCAAACTGGCATCCCTTTGGTTCACAGGCTGCACTCAATCCACTGAGCCACATCAGCCAGGGTGAAACTCTTTCACTCTTCAGTCACAACTTTAATCACTTAAGCCTGTTAATTAAGGCTAAACTCTTTAACACCTAAGTTCTATCATTTCCCCCTGCTTTTTTGTTTGTTTGTTTTTTTAAAGAGAGAGGGGGAGTGAGGGAGGAAGAAAGAGAGAGAGAAATGTCCATGTGTGGTTGCCTCTCATGCACCCCCAGGGGCGGACCTGGCCCACAACCCAGACATGTGCCCTGACTGGGAATCGAACCAGCAACCCTTTAGTTCGCAGGCCAGCGCTAAATCCACTGAGCCACACCAGCCAGCCGCGCCCCCCCCCCCAGCCCTGTAAGTTTTATCTTATTTCTATAGGGTTAGTTTAAAAACTAAAACAACGTAAGATACAAAAGCTATACAATTCTGGAAGAATGGTAGGCTTCTGCCTCAGAGCTTGTACCTTCTAGAACACCCAAGGAAGAATAACCCTGCCACCTTCTGCCAAGCAGACCAATCCTAGGCTGTGCCCCGAGTTTCTTTTCCTCTAAAATACCACCCAATGGGAAACACAGGCAGCTGCAGCACGATCACCCAGGCATACTGGAGGGAGAAAGCCAGAGGGCCACGGGGCCAGGGGACCAGGGAGCCAGCAAGCAGGCAAGCCAGGAGGCCAGCCTCTGCACTCCTTTTTCCCATGCACTCTGGAGGCATTCAGCTTCTCAGCCAATCCCATCCTAGGCTTTCAGCAAAGCCTCAGCAAACTCCTCCTAAGGTCCCTTCCTATTCCTCTCCAGTGATCTGATTATATTTCTCTGTCTCCCCCCGTAGGGTGGGGTGTGGTGGGGAGGAGAGGTCAAAGTGATTCTCCTGTTTTCTCAAATCCCTTCAGTTTAAAATATTCAATATGCCAAGGTGCCATTCTTTAAAAAAACAGATTTTATTTACTTTTAGAGGGGAAGGTGGGGAGAAAGAGAGGGAGAGAAACATCAATGTGATAACCCCCCAACTGGAGACCTGGTCTGCAACCCAGGCATGTGCCCTGACTGGAAATTGAACTGGTGACTTTTCAGCTCACAGGCCAGTGCTCAGTCCACTGAATTATACCAGCCAAGGCCGAATTTGCATTTAAAAATGAATCGGGCTGTGCTCTGCGATCCCAGCCTGTGACCCCAACAGATCCATGTTTTCTTTTTTTTTTTTTTTTGAGGATTTTATTAACTCATATTTTTAGACAGAGGGGAAGGGAAGGAGAAAGAGAGAGAGAGAGAGAGAAACATCAATGTGTGGTTGCCTCTCATGCACCCCCCCCCCCCCCCCAGGCACACGGCCTGCAACCCTGGCATATGCCTTAACTGGGAATTGAACATACAACCTTTTGGTTTGCAGGCCCACGCTCAATCCACGTTTTCTTTTTCTCACATCAATGTTTCTCTCCCTCTCTCTAAAATAAATGAATCTTGAAAAATAAAAAATAAAAAACAAATATAAAAATCTGTAGATAAATAAAAACGTTAAAAAAATAATTTGGCAGAGGACTGGAAGGGACGAAGCAGGGGAGTGGGAGGGGGAAGAACAGTCTAAAGAGAACAGTGTAGGGGATCCAGGAGAGCGCTCTCAGACGGGCGAGGGTGATGAGAGTGGGGGAGGTAAAAAGTTTGAAGGGAAACGGAGTCAGTGGGACCTACAGATTCCTGCACAACTGGGAGGTCACCAGCTCCGAGACCTCAAATAAAGTGCTCACAGCCTTCTGAAATGGTGTACATCGGGGGTGTCAGACTCATTTTCACTGGGGGGGGGGGGAGGAGGACACATCAGCCTCGCGATGACCTTCAAAGGGCAGAATGTAACTTTAAGACTGTAAATGCAACCACCCCTTTACTGTTAACCAAGAGCCCAACGCAGACCACCAGAGAAAAACAAGGTACCAGGTAGAATGAGACAAGATAGAGTGCTTGTCACCTGTGAGATAAATGCATTCGATAGAGAACCCCTAGGTTTCTCTACTCGACTCTGAAGCCAGAAAACTACCAACTAATAGCACTCTGAAGAGTCATATAATCTCCTCGAAAGCTAATATCTGCTTTTCAACTTATAAGAATTAGCCTCGCAAAATGCGAGACCTCAAAAATTACTTCAAACTCAGAATTGTTCCTCTCCACGGAAATCTTTAGTAAAAGGCGAAAGATTTATACGATTTGAAGAGAAACCAGAGTATTTCTCCTTGTTTCAGCTCGGAACCTGCCAGAGCAAGCCAACCCCAGAACACTTACGGTTGTTAGTGGCTGCGCGGTGCGCACTCCCTGCCTCCTGTCCGAACGGACCGCACGTTTCTAACAGGCAGCGTGCCCTGCAATAGTGGACAGATTCCCGTGGGGCTGGAACTCGATTGCCGTGAACTGTTTCCGAGGTGCACCACGGGTATGCAAATCGCAGGCAGCTTGGGCGGTCTGTGGGATCAGCTGCCCCCGCAGGGCGGCGCTGTGCGGACTGGGGCTACGGGTCTTCCTCTCTTCTCTGCCGGTCCACCAGGGAACCCGTGCCCAGTTTGCCTGGAGAGAAAGGGCTTTTTCGTCAGTGCTCGGGGCCGGGTACCTTGGGAGGGTGGGGTTAAGTCCCAATCTTCGATGTTTAGTCCTGTCATTCTATACCCGCTAGCGCTCCACAGTTCTAGGGACAGAAGCAGAGACTGTCCAGCCCAGCCAATCAGGGACGGAGGGATCGTGTAGGCAGCATAGCACCCCGCCCCCAAGGGGGTGGCATTAAATTTATCTTTTTTTTTTTTTTTAATAAAGAGATTTTATTTATTTATTTCTAGAGAGAGGGAACAGGAGGGAGAAAAACATCCGTGTGTGAGAGGTACATCAGTTAGTTGCCTCTCACACATCCCGAACACGCCAGCCCGGGACCTGGCCCACAGCCTAGGCATGTGCCCTGCCTGGGAATTGAACTGGCAGCCATTTGATTCACAGGGCACCACTGAGTCCACTAAGCCACACCAGCCAGGGCAGCATCCAGTTTATCTTGAAGGATGGTTCAGTCTAGGGGAAGTGAAACAGTGTTAGCAGAGAATAGCAGAAGACTAATTACGGGAGGCACTGAAGTAACTCTTGTGTACAATGTGGCGTGTCTGGCAGGCTCTGTCACAGAGAAAGATGCGGTGACAGCAGAGGCCAAGTGGAGTTGGGCCTTGGCTTGGATTTTATCTCGTTAGTGATGGGCAGGGGTGAGAAGGTGTGGAAGTCGGAGGGTGCACTGGCGGGCCACACAGGGTGCACTGTCTTGAAGGCAGTGGGACTTGTTCCAGAGACTGGTTGTGGTCGGTGCCCCAGAACAGACCATTCCTGGGTCAGCTGAGCTCCAACTGGCTGGAATCCCTCCAGTTTACCAGGACACACCCTCCATCCCATGTTTCAGGGCCCCCCCGCTAAGCATGCAATCAGAGCAAAAAACTTTCAACAAAGTTCACATCTATATAAACTACAAAAATAGAGAGCACTGCCCTGGCAAGTTTGGCTCAGCTGGTTAGAGCGTCTTCCCACGTACCAAAGGTCATGGGTTTGATTCCTGGTCAGGGCACATACCTAGGGTTCCACCCCAGTTGGCGCATGTTGGTTGGTGTGCATTCTGGAGGCGACCGATTGATTGGTATTTTCTCTCTCTCTCTGAAACCAATAAATGTATTATCCTCAGGTGAGGATTAAGTTTTTTAAAATCTTTAGAAAAAATACCTTTTTTGTGCCCTGGCTGGTGTGGCTCGGTGGATTGAGCACTAATCCATGAATTGAAAGGTCACTGGTTCTAGTCCCAGTTGGGGTACATGCCTGGGTTTCAGGCCAGGCATGTAAGAGGCAACCTATCAATGTTTCTCTCCCTCCCTTCCCCTCTCTCTCTTAAAAAAAAAGACCTTTTTTAAAAAATAGAGAGCACTTCTGAGATGCCAGATCATTTCTTACATAAAGGATTTCATCCCCTGCTGGCGTGGCTCTGTGGATAGAATGCTGAGCTGTGAAGTGAAAGGTCAACAGTTCGATTCCCAGTCAGGGCCCATGCCTGGGTTGTGGGTCAGGTCCCCAGTTGGAGGCTTAAGAGAGGCAACCTGATCAATGTATCTCTCACACATCAATGTTTCTCTCCCTCTTTCTCCCTCCCTTCCTTGCTCTGTAAAAATAAATAAACAAAATGAAAAAGGATTTCATTTAAAATCCTTAAAGATACACGTCAATCTCTAATCCCATTTCAGAGGAAGTCGCTGAAGCTCAGGAGGTCAGCTGACTCTTTCAGGTCGCCCAGCTGGTGAGCGGCGCCTGGGCCCATGGCCTTTGCACGGAGCCAGCCTGCTGGGCTCTGCTAGAGGCCGGAACACTACTGGACCCAAATCCAGCAGCTTCTGTCCTTGGACGTGTGGGATGCACCCTGTACTCTAGGTTCCAAGCCAACTACTCACTTCGCTTAGTCTTTTTAGGTATTTTAGTGTCGATTCAGCTGCATTGGGCTTATGTAGTTATTTTTTCACTTTTGTTCAGAACATGATGATCTGACCTTTGGTGTGGTGGGTGAGGTGTGAGAAGGCAGAGCTCTCAGGGTGGCTGGAACCGGGGTGTGTGGAAGCATCAGTCGAGACTGAGCCCCTGAATAGTTGGGGAGAGGCAATAACCCCGCCCCCCACAGGGTAGCTGGGTTGTGGCCAGTCTTCAACACCTCTGTGCAGGGAGGCTGTTCAACCTTCCCAGAACAAACAGCTCAAACGCTGTGGCTCACTGGTTGCTGACACAGTTCTGAACAGTTCTCCCCCCAGCCCCACCCCCACCCACCCCCGGGGTCTCTGGCCAGAAACATCTCTGCGGCACCTGGCTGGCTGCTGACTCGCAGAGGCCTCTGCCTTGGAGGTTGGTCTGGGCACAGAACTCCTAGAGCAGCCCCGGCCCCTGCTGTCCGCACCTCTGCAGCTGGCCACTCTCCTGATCTTCCTTTTCAGGTCCCAGCTGTTGTTTATGGCTGTGCTCCTCCACTCCATCCCCCCATGCTGCCGAAACAGGAAGGTGGGCTGGGAGTCGTGAAGTGTGCCAGGCTGGGTTAGGACGGCTCTGAAAGCCATGTAGTTGGTTTTGACAATGAAAACATTTGTATCACTTCGTGTGCTAAGCATCTCACCCAGACCATTACCCAGTACATAACATGTTTGCTGAATATCGTCTTCACTTCCGGGTGAATCAATGAGTGCAGTCATGTGACAACAGTTTAGAACCTGGGCCTCTCCCACTTAGGAACAGAGTGGCCCTAGGACCTTAGGTCCTGACATTTCTACTTGCAAACTTCCAACACTGTCGGAAAGAAAAGCACCAAAGTCATTTCAAGTGAGTTCATATAGAATATATTTCACTCTTTAAAAATAAAACTTTCAGCATAGCTAATCTGTACAAACTACAAAAATAAACATCTCCATATAAATAAGTTATGTGGTAGGAAGTGGTCAGGGAGACTGAGCCTGCCCAGGGGTCACCGAGCAGTTGGGGGCCAGGACTGGCAAAGGTGTGAGAGGCTCCCTCAGGCCTGGCTGGCTGGGGGCAGCAGTGTGGGGCGGGGTGGCGGGGACAGGGCTGCACCGCAGCCCGAAGTGCTGGCTCTTACCCTGCCCAGACACAGGGACAGGGACACAGGGCCTGGTGTGGGCGGCTGCTCCCGGCCCAGAGGCTGTCGGTCCTCGGTGGGTACCAGGGAGGTCAGTGACGGCCGAGGCAGGGAAGGGGTGCTGCCAGATGGGCAGCAGCAGCAGCAGCAGCAGCAGAGCTTGCCAGGAGTCTGTCCTGCACCCAGTGACCCACCCCTTGCCCCCCAGGGACTCCGTGTGGCCCACGCAGTCTCCATGCTTCAGCTGCTCTTTCACTCAGAGGCTGGACATGGTGCCCTAGAAGTGAGGTTGCTGGGGTTGTCAGCAGCTGGTGTGGCAGCAGGGGACCAAGCAGGCTCATCAGAGGCTGGGTGGATGTAGGCACCAGGCAGCGGGGGTGGGTGGAGGGCTATGGTCATGGAGGTAGTCACTCTGGCAAAGCTCTGGGGCAGGGTGGGGGGCAGCCCCCACCTGGGCCCTCCTGCTCGTGGAGCTGAGGGGTTCAGGACCTCTGGGCTCTCCTTATACATCTGTACCACCTGGGGAGAGACACCAGCCCCGGTGAGCCCGGGGGCTGCTGGAGCCTCAGTCCCCTCCATCCCCTTCCTGGCGCATCACATGGTTGTTGGGAAGCCTTGTTGGCCTCCAGCAGGATATGACAACTGACAACGGACAGGATGCCAAGGCCCAGGACAAACTGTGCACCTTGCTCTGGACCCTGAAGGCTAAAGGCTAAAGTGGGTTCTATAAGGAAGCCTGGAGAGCCCTGGCCGGGTAGCTCAGTTGGTTCGAGTGCTGTCTTGAAATACTAAGGTTGTGGGTTTGATCCCTGGTCAGGGCACATACAAGAATCAATCAATGAATACATAAATAAGTGGAATAAATGGATGTTTCTCTCTCCCTCCCTCTCATCAGTAAATCTATTTAAAAAAAGAAGCCAGGAGAGATGAGGGGCAGGGGCGCGGTGTCTGGGCAGAGGGGCAGGTTGTCGCCTTTCCGTTGGTGGTGCCTCATGGGGAGGACCCTTGTGAGTCGAGTCCTGTCTCTTGGCCACTGAGGGCATTTTGTCCTGGCTCAATCCCTTGCCTGTCCCGTCCCACCTCGTCCCTGGGCTAGGGAAGGTACGGTCACCTCTGGCGGGGGGCCCAGGATGGAGAGCAGCACGGGCAGCAGCACGAGCCCGTGGAGGAGGCCCAGGAGCGTGAGCACTGTCAGCACCAGGAAGAAGTACCTGGAAGGGGGTGGGAGGGCAGCTCGGGCAGGCTCTGAGGTCAGCAAGGGCCGGCCCCGCCTCCCTGCCCGGAGCCCTCCCCTACCTTACGATGAAGTCAAAGTTGGAACCAGCAAGCATCAGCAGACCCAGCAGAGTGGACACGGCCCCATCCGTCACCGGGGCGAAAGTGTGCTCTAGGGCCCGGGCAGCCCGCAGGTTCCGGCTGCCCTGGGCGGTCAGGAAGCCCTGGGGGAACAAAGTGGTCCTAGAGCTGCTCCTTGGCCAGCTCTGGAGTCCCCACCTTCTGTACATCTGCCCCCGGGGGTCCTCCAGGCCTCGGCCCAGGTGAGCTGAGCTCCTGCAGCTTGTGTGAGTCTGTTTAGAACTTGGTACAGGTGTGTCTGGAAAAGGCTGGCAAATCACAGCCTGTCACCTATTTTTGTAAATAAAGTTTTGTTTAAACGGCCACACCCATTCATGTCTGTGCTGCCTGTGGCTGCTTTACTGCTACAGCGGCAGAGTCACAACAGACACTCGACAACCGGCCGAGCCCCACGTATTCACTCTCCGGCCCTTCATGGAAACAGCGGGCCGCACCCTGGTCTAGGGGGATGGACAGTAAGGCGCTAAGTTACTTCTCAGGGTGGCGTTTGAGAGGACTTTTACTCCTTGAACTTTTCTGCATGCCGACCCTGCCCTGCCACCAGGAGCATGTATTGTTCTTATGACCAAAATGGTAACAGGGCTGTTATGGGCGGAAGAAGAAGGGAGCAGTTTGTGGGCTCTGGCAGGTTTGTTGTGGTCTGTAGCTCCCTCCGCCTCCCAACCCTCCTCGGGCTGGCGCCTGCCTCCGTCCTCCTTCCTCCCCGGTCCCGCAGACGCCCTCCTTTACCCCCATGGCTGCCTGCTGCCCGCCCACTTCTCCAACCCCCTTCGCAGTAAGGCATCAGAGGAATCACTGGTTCCCATTTTCTCTCCTCTGTTCTGTCCTTACCCCATTCCGGTCAGGGCTCTGTTCCTTCCTCTCTACTGAAATGGCTGCTTATTCATTTATTCATTCACTGTTTAACACCACACTCTAGAATACAATCCCCTTGACGGTAAAGCCTGTGTGTATTGCTATTATGTCTCCAATTCTTAAACAGTCCCCAGCACACAGCAGGGGCTGGATGAGTAAGTGTTGCACACTGAGCCAGCTGGCCTGCCCTCTCGCAGCGCCCGTGCTCACCAGAGCCACGTGGACTGTGAACTCGACACCGATGCCCACAGAGGCCACGAGGATCACCACGGGGATGGCGCTCAGCTTGATGCCCAGGAAACCCATGATGCCGAAGAGCTCCACGGTCATCAGTGCCAGGACCAGCACCTGGGAAGGGCAGCAGCGCAAACCCAGGGCTCCTGGGAGGAGCAGTGACGGGACAGGCAGGGGAGGGTGGGGGAGTCTGGATTTCTTCAGGCCCAACCCTGCAAAGACTCACTATGAGGCCAGCCGTCCAGGGGTTGAGCAGCAGCAAGGTGCAGACAAGGAAAGTGCAGACCAGCAGGATGCAGACGGCCAGCAGGAAGCAGCGCCGCAGGCCCAGGTACTGCTCCCAGAAGAGGAAGGGGGAGCCGCTGGGGTAGGCGCGCACCCCGGCCCGGCCTGCCTCGGCGCACGCTGCCCGGGCCCCCTCGATGGCCTCCACGAAATCCGAAGTCTTTTGGAGGCCATGCAGTAGGAAGGGGAACTGGGCAAACTCCAGGGGCTGGGCCGCCGGGACTGTGGAGGGGAGGGGGTGGCAAGGAGAGGGAAGGATGGCCAGTGAGCACAGGGAGCGGCAGGCAGGGCCTTAGGGTAGAGCCTGGGTGGGCCTTGCTGGCTACCCCCGGACTCACTGCGGAAGTTCTGCCCGGTGGTGTCGTACTTGTCGTGCAGCCACTCGGGAGGTGGGGGATAGAAGTTGGCCTGCGAGGCTGCTAGACCCAGAGGGTCACTGCTCACCCACACGGTCAGCCCCACGTAGAAGAGCTCGGGTGGAATCAGCCCCTCCTTGTCCACCAGCTTCTTCGTGGTCAGCTGCAGAGGCAGGGAGGGCTGAAGGCCTGGGCCTGTGCGGTGCAGGCCCCTCAGTGCACTCTGACCCTTTCAGCCCTCTCCCAACCTGGCTGAAATCCAGAGGCTCCCGAGCATCGCCGGTCTGGATGAGCAGCTTATAGGCCAGGGCCCCGTCCTCAGAGCCATTTCGGTATGAGTGGCGGGTAATGCGCCCAGAAGCCCAGTCCTGGTCAAATGCAGCCTGGATCCCTGGGGGAGAACAGGGTAGGGTACAGTTGGCCTACGGCCCCAGGGCATCTGCCTGCAGCACCCTCCCCACCAGTCTCCTTGCCTCCTACCCTGTAGCCAGCTGCGGTAATAGTGCAGCCAGGTGCGGGGCGCCTGAGTGGCAGGTGGGGGCAGCACGGCCTTGAGGGAGCTGAAGCGCTGGTGCAGATCAAAGAGGGCACGTTGGGAGTGGGCGTAGTCAAAGCCACCCTGTGTCACCAGGGCCACCTCATACAGGGAGAAGTACCTGAGCTGGGCGCTCAGGAAGGCATGCTCCTTGGTGCCCCGAGGCACCACATCTGTCAGGGCCAGCCCGTCCTGCACCAAGGTCGCGCCGTAGAGGCTCAGGCCCAGCAGAGCGCCACAGAGTACCAGCACCACAGCCTGCGGGAGAGGTCAACTTGGACGGAAGCATAGGGATGTCCCTGGCCAGCGGATGCTGGGCCCGGCCCCCTGCCCGTCTTGGGGCCCAGAGACACCTGAGGCTCTGCCCTGGCCTGCCCCAGTCCCTCCAGGCTTGGGGTCTCACCTTGGCGTGTGACTGGAGCAGCAAGGGCGCAAACTGATAGCGGGCAAAGTGGGCAAGGTTCCAGCGGGCACAGGGCGGAGACCTGCAGGCTGCCTTCTGCCTTGAGCCCTCCTCCTGGCCTAGAAGGTCCCGTGTGGACCCTCCTGGGCTGAAGAGCTCGGAGCTCAGTGGGTCAGAAGGTGGGGGCACCAGGTGGGTGTGGGGAGGCAGGCTGGTGACCACATGCTGGCTGCTGGCTTCCCAGTGGGCAAAGGCTTGGACGGTGGCAGTCAGATGGGTGATGCCCACTGGTACTGTCCTGTCTGCCAGCTCCTGGGGCAGAATCTGAATCACCCGAGCGGAGCAGGGGCTGAAAGAGGCAGAGAGACAGGGCGATGGCTGTGCGTCTGGAAATACCAGTGAGGGGACAAGAGGGGATGGGGCCGAGGAAGGCCTCGTGGGGTGGGGTGGGTCTGGGGGTGCAGGACAGTACCTGGAGAAGCAGCAGAGCACATCGAGGCGCTGGCAGTGGCGCCGGTGCAGGTCCAGGCTGAGGACGGCTGGGAAGACAAGCATCACAGCTGCAAAGTTGCAGCCAACCACGACGGCCGCCTGGGGGATGGACAGGAAGGGTGCAAAGGTGGGATGAAGCATGTCCCCAGCTCCACGCCCACCCCGCGCCTCTCTGTGAAGCGTCACCTGCAAGGAGAAGGCTCGCAGTGCCGGGACGGGGACGAGGGCGGCCATGAAGAAGGCGACCATGTTGTTGATGGAGGTGAGCGCGACACTGGGGCCCGTACGTTGAAGACACTCACCCATACGCTCCTGCCAGGACAGGGGAGGGGGCCGTGAGTCTTTGAGGCAGAGTGAAGGGGAGGCTTGGGAACTTGGGACGGCAGAGGAGGGACCACAGCCACACAGCAGCACACATGCATTGAGCACCAAGCGCGTGCACACACACTCGACTTGAAGTCTGTCGCCGATCCTCTCATCAATCCTTATGATACAAGCATTGTTTTTACACCCAATTACAGATGAGGAAACTGAGGCACAGGGAGGTTCATGACCAGCCCAAGGTCACCCAAACCAAGAGGCTTGTAACCCCTATGCTGAACTCAGAAGAGCCGAGGCTAGAGAGTGAGGCTGCACCTGGAGAGGGGTCCCTGATGGAGCCTCTGTAAAGGCATGTGCCAGCAGGAATATGTCATCCACGCCGATGCCCAGTGCCAAGAAGGGCAGCACCTGGAGGGGCACAGGGGCGGGCAGCTGCAGGAACCGAGCAGCCGGAGCTGTGGGCACCCACGTCTGCCCTACCTGGTGTACCTGGGTCGTGGCAGCATTAAAGGTGATGCCGAGCAGGGCACAGAGCCCAAGGCCCGAGGCCACAGCCAGGGCCACCAGCAGCACCCCAGCGAGGCCCACGGCACCCTGGGACTGGGCACAGTCCCACCGCAGCATTGTCACACAGGCATAGGCCAGCTGTGGGGAGAGGACACTGTCTTGGACGGGGGTTCCCAGGGTAGGGACCGGGTGGCGCTGGGGGCAAGGTGCCAGGACGGGCCCCACCATGAGCAGATAGCCTCCCACCACACGGGCGGCGCTGACTTCGGAGAACGCGTGCAGGATGTCGTCCAGGGTGGTGGAAGAGAAGGCGTGGATCTGCTGGGACCCGTTCTCAGGCAGGGAGTCCTGCGCCAGCTGGAGAGACGGGGTGGGTCTGAGGCGCAGGAGGGGCACGGGGCCGCGGGGCACCGCTCTGCCCGTGCCCACACCGACCTGCACGAAGCGCCGCTGCCAGGCCTGCAGCACCGTGCCGGCCTGCTCCTCGCTCCAGCCGATGTCATGTGTCTGGTAGTCACCGCGGAAGTGCTCATACAGCTGGCGGGGACTCATCAGCAGGAAGGTGCTCTGCAGGGCCTCTGCCCTGGTGAGGGGCAGGAGAACCAGGTGTCCGAGCTAGCCTGAACTCCCAGCGCGGGGTGTGCAGGGGGCTTTTGACAGAGCTGCCTGGAGTCAGAGTGTAGGTGCCCAGTCTGGGGTCCCCTTGCCGAGTCCCAGAGGAGGTCCTACCTCAGCAGCTGTCCTTGGGGGTCTCTGGCCATGCCTCCCAGCAGCAACTCCTCCTGCCAGTGCATGAACTTGTGGGAAAAGCCGTGGCAGCCCCCGCTCAATTCCTGAGCCACATCGGGAGCCTGGAGGGAGTCAGAGACGGGGCTTGTCACTCAAGGCCCTGGCTGTGGACAGCTGCGGTCCCTGGGCGGCACCTCCAGGAACCACGGAGCTCTGTGGGCCCGAAGCGTAGATGACGGTCTCCTGAGCTGCTTGCCCATGCTTGAAGTGAACGGCAGAGGACAGGCCACAAGGGGGAGCAGGGGCCTGGGGACGGCGTAATTTTGGTTGGTTTTGGGAAAAGGTCCACGTTCACAGGGCCATGAGGACACTCAGGAAACTAGGTGTGATGCCTGCACTCAGCTAACTTGTCCTCGGTCTCCCTGCACACATCATTTTGATAAAGTCCAGCCTTTCTGGGCTTAGAAAAGGACAAAGAGATTCATGTGCCACCTGAGGGTCCCTTGGGAGAACTGACGGCTCCAGGTGTCCAGCACAGTGCAGACAGGGTAACGACATCTGGGAGATGGAGGGCAGAGCACGGAGCAGAGTGGGCCCTCTCCCGTAACCCAGGAACACAGGAGGAGGGGGAAGGGGCGGAGAACAGCCTTTCCCTGGCAGCCCGGGCTGGGACCCACCTGCCTGCTGTCACGGTTGGGAGCGCTGGGTGGGCAGTGAAGGTCATCAGGATTTAGACAGGGCCGCCCCACGTAGGCCTGGCCCACCTGTGCCTTGTCAAGCAGCTCCCGGAAGCCCTCAAGGGAGGTGAAGGGACCCAGCTCCTCCAGCAGCTGCTCGGGATCCAGGTTGGTCCACTGGATGTCGGGACGGCCGCTGAGGGAGAGACCACGGCTGGTGAGGATCAGGCACTAATTCCCACCCTCCTCCGTACAGAGGGTGTGCGAGGCTAAGCTTCCTGGAGCTCCAGGCCGCTCCAGCCCACTGGGTCGCTGCAGGGAGCTGTGGGTGTATGCAAGGGGCTGAGGGGAGCATCAGGACAGGTGCGAAAGGCCCAGAAAAGCCCCACTGGGGCTCCTCCCAAGCCCTGTACCCTCAGCTCTAACACACAACCATCTGGGCACCTGCCTCTGGCCTGGGCTACACCTTAGCTGACTCCTTGCTAAGTCTCCCTGACAAAGTCTCTCTGAGGATCTTTCTTCTCTTTTGCTCAGGGCTCACAGATCTTTGTTCTGCTTTGTCTGATTCAGAGGGTCTGCCTTTCCTGTGGAGTGCGGGGATGGAGTGCGTGGGGAGAGCCCGGGGTCGCCCTGCTCTGACCCTGGCCTGGGAGATCACTGGGCCCTTGGTAAGGTTGTGACTGTCCTTTAATCCCGCCCCTCTTTTCCACTGGGGAAGTCCCCGAACACCACGAGGCAGGGCCCGGGAGCAGCTGCAGCGGCACTCACGGCAAGTAGGCAGAGCCCCCTTGGAGTTTGGCTCCCTCCCAGAAGCAGTCGAGCGGGGTGAGGATCACACATGGGAACAGCTTCTCAATCATCTGCCGGGGACACCCCAGGCCACATCAGTCCTGTCTCTGGGCTCCTGTCCCCATGACCTTTGTAGGATGCCCTCCACAACCCCCCACCTCTGACCTTTAGCCTCCTGCTGTCTCTCTGAGCCTCCCCTACTGCAGAGAAGGTTCCACCTCCACCTGTCTCAGAGGACAGCTTAGGACACTCACCCGCTCAATCATCCCATTTTCAATGAGGGGAACGCCTGACTTGTAGCAGATTTTGTTCAAGTCCCAGGACCTGCGGCAGCCAGGGTGCAGGAGATCAGCAGACGAGGGGACTCCCACTCAGCCCTGCTGTGGCATGCCTCGCCCCCAGCTGCTCAGGGGATCAGCCAGACTCACTTTCCATAGAGTGATACTTGCACTTTACTGGCAGTGAGGGCTGCCTGGAGGTGGAGGCGAAGTGCCTCGGGTGTGAGGACGTTCTCTCCCTCCTGGCGCGGGGTCTGTATCAACATCTGGGAGGTGTACGCAGCCTCCTCCCCCAGCTTCTCCTTGGTGTACCGCAGCTCCTGGCTCACCCGGCTGCCCGCTGTTGGAGCAGAGGGAGGGGAAGCTCAGGGGGAAGAGCCTTGGTGGGTTGGAGCTCTGGGGGCCATAGGACCCTCACCCACGGATGCCTCCCAGGACAAATGGGCCACGCCGACTGCCCAGGCTCCAGTCCCTCTGTGCAGAATCTGAAGTTCTGCCAGGAAAGCCAGAGCCTCAGTGGTGTGGCTCATATGAAATTCTTGTGTGGTCTAAGATTTAAGCATGAACCAGGCTGGCTAGGTTTGGGAAAAATAACTTAATCTTCTCACTCATGAGAGCCCCAAACCCTTGGTAACCTCCCAAAACAGAGTTACCTATATGGTCACATCCCCCACCCACATCACATTCCTGGCCCTCTCCTCATGAGTCCAGTGTCACACAGCCACCCAGCCCACGTCAGTCTACTACTCTTTTTCTTCCTTCTCCGACTTCCACTGCTTTCCCAGGCCGGCACAACAGCGCTCATTTCGCCACGCTTGGGCCAGAGCTGCCACGAGGAGGGGGGACACACGAGGGGAAGGAGGAGTGGGGGAAGGAAGGCACCCAGAGAGAGCTAATAAGAAAGCAGGAGAAAGAAACACTGATGACTTAAAACACAACATCAAGGAGAATAAAGAATCCTGGGGGGGAAAAAGAGAGAAACAGAAAAAGATGAACCTCAGCTGACAATGACAGTGACAGACATGAGCACAGATGAACTGGGAGGTATTACACGGGCAGGAAGAGATAGCTGGTGCGGGGAGAGCACGCAGGCTGTGTATACACCTGGCTTTGAGCCTGAGCTCTGACGCTGTGCTTGGGGCAAATTACTTAGTCTCTTTGACCCTCAGTTTCCTCATCTGTAAAATGGGGACAGTGCCCATCTTGGCAGAATTAGAATCAATGCAAAGTACCTGGGAAATTGCCCAGCACGTGGTAGGCACATGGAGTGATTATTCAATAGTTGCTGGGACAGAAATGATATAACAGAAAAATGAGAAAGAACTGGAGAAAAAAAATGGCTGTGAGTGGGGAGGAAGTAGGAAAATGGGAGGAGACATCAAATCGACATTTGTTAAAAACTCTGGAAGATGGAGGTGTAGGTAAATACGGCTCACACCCTTGCACAACCACAACAAAATTACAAGCAAACTGCAGAACGACTATCACTTAGAACTGTCAGAAAATCAAGCTGTATGGAAGTCCAACTACTAAGGAGTTAAAGAAATCAAATTCATCCAGATGGGTAGGGTGGGTGGAGTCCTAGAGATGTGGAGACGAGAAATGGGCCATTCCCACAGGCATATGTGGTGGATAAAAATTGGGGGGTGGGGGCCGGATAATATCTTGGGAGTGAGGGATCCCAGCCCAGTAGCAGACCACCCAGACAAGGGCTCCAGAGCCAGGAAGATAAGTCCCCACAACTTCTGTCTATAAAAATCAGTGGGGATTGGGTCAGTGGAAGAAACTGCAGGATTCTCAGGGATCTTCTTTTGAAGGGCCCCACACATGGACTTACTTCCTCTGGGCTCCAGCATGGGAGCAACAACTTGAAGGGTTAGTGGCACACAGGGAGGAACTGAAGTGTTTGGCATCAGGGTGAGAGCTGGGAGCAGCTTCCTCCCGGACGGAACTTCAGGCAGTGGCCATTGTTCTTTTTCTGAGCCCATACACAGAGCCACAGTGCAGTGGGACCATCTGAGGCTCCATCAACCCAACTCATAGTTTGCCCCGCCTTGGCAATTACCTAAAACTCTGCCCCATCCAACTTAAGGGCCCACCCAAGCTGTTAACAGTGGCTTTTCCATATGAGTGGCTTGGCTTGGTATAGGTCTCAAACCTTCCTATATCCACACAAACAAGCAACACTTGAGCCCAGCCACCCATTCCCTCTTGCTAAGTGGTTCCAATACTAACAGCAGCCACCTGAAGGTCGCTTTTTAGCTTACACCAAGTGGCCCCAAACATAACACAGGTGGTGGCTGACCTTGGCCTGCACCACCTGGGAAACTCCAGAGCTTGTGCACCCAGTGGACAGCTACAGACCATATCAGGGCACCATCACCCAATCAGCTCCACAAGCCACAAAGGGAGGTGGTTGGTGGCCAGGGGTCACAGACAGTTCTACCAACTGACCAGACTGGGTAAATCCCTCCCATTAACCTGCTGACAGCAATCAAGACTCAACTACAAGACAAGGAGCTACTCACCCCTCTTGGAGGGTGTACCTCAAGTACTCAGCTTGGGGGTAAGGGAGGCTGTGCCACTAGACCCTATAGGACACCTACATTAGGCCATGTAGTAACATTAGGCCATGCTACAAAGACATGGAGTCACAGCAGCTCTACCTAATACATAGAAACAAACGCAGGGAGGCTGCCAAAATGAGGAGATACAGAAACATGGGCCAAATGAAAGAACAGATAAAAAATCCACAAAAAGAACTAAACAAAATGGAGATAAACAATCCATCATAAGCAGCGTTAAAAACACTGGTTATAAGGATGTTCAAGGAACTTAGTATATATGTCAACACCATAAAAATGACTCAATCGGAAATGAAGGACACACTAACTGAAATAAAGAACAATCTACAGGGAATCAGCACAGTGGAGTGGATAAAGCCAAGAATCAAATCAATGATTTGGAACATAAGGAAGCAAAAGACATCCAGTCAGTACAGCAAGAAGAAAAAAGAATTAAAAAAAAATAGTGTAAGGAGCCTCTGGGACAACTTCAAGTGTACCAACATTTGCATCATAGGGGTGCCGGAAGGAAAAAAGAAAGAGCAAGACATTGGAAAACTGTTTGAAAAAATAATAAAACTTCCCCTCCTCCAGCCAAGATGGAGGTATAGACAGACATGCTTCTCTTCCTTGCACAATCAAAAGAAGGCTAACAACCAATTTCAAAACAAAAAAACAACCAGAACCACCAGAAAATCAAACTGTACGTAAGTCTGACAACCAAGGAGTTAAAGAAGCATTCATCCAGACTGGCAGGAGGGGCAGAGACGTGAAGCTGGGGTGCGACAAGGTGAGGGATGGCGGACCGGGATATCCCACATCTGAGTGCAGATACATGTGGAGGAACAACTAGGGAATGAGACGGACCACACAACCCAGCATTCCAGTGCAGGAAACTAAAGACTCTCTCTGGTTGTAAAAACCTGTGGGTGTTGTGGCGGCAAGAATAACTCCTAGTTTCACAGGAGGGTCTGTTGGAGGGGCCCATGGGGTCCTAGAATGTATATAAGCCCACCCACCCGGGAATCAGCACCCGAAAGGCACAATCTAGCTCTGGGAAGCAAGGGAAGAGACTGAAAGTGGGGAGAGAGCCAAGTAAGCAGCACTGTTGCCTCTCGGACCCCTCCCCCACATACTGTGCCACAATGCAGAGAAGTGGGTTGCCCCACTTTGGCAAATACCTAAGGCTCCGCCCTTTACAACATAACAGGCGTGCTGAGACAAAGAAATATGGCTCAAATGAAAGAACAGATAAAAACTCCAGAAAAAGAACTAAGCAATAAGGAGATGGACAACCTATCAGATGCAGAGTTCAAAATACTGGTAATCAGGATGCTCAGAGAAATGACTGAGTACAGCTGCAAAATAGAGGAAAAAGTGAAGGTTATGCAAAGTGAAATAAAGAAAAATATACAGGGAACCAACAGTGAAGGGAAGGAAACCAGTCTTATATCAAAGATTTGGAATAAAAGGAAGAAATAAACATTCAACTGGACAGAATAAAGAAACAATTTAAAAAATTGAGGAGAGCCTTAGGAACCTGAAACAACTTTAAATGTTCTAACATCCCAATCATTGAGGTGCCAGAAGGAGAAGAGGAAGCACAAGAAATTTAAAACTTATTTGAAAATATAATGAAGAAAAACTTCCCCAATCTGGCAAAGGAAATAAATACACATGCAAGTCCAGGAGCTCAGAGAGTCCCAAACAAGATGGACGGACACAAAGAGGCCCACACCAAGACAGGTCTTAATTAAAATGCCAAAAGTTAAAGATTAAGAATCTAAAAAGGAGTAAGGGAAAAGCAGATAGTTACCTAAAAAGGAGTTCCCATAAGACTGTCAGCGGATGTATCAAAAGAAACTTTGCAGGCAAGAAAGGACTGAGAATAAGTATTCAAAGTGATGAAAAGCAAGCACCTACAACATAGATTGCTCTATCCAGCAAAGCTATCATTTAGAATGGAAGGGCAGATAAAGTGCTTCCCAGACAAGGTAAAGCTAAAGGAGTTCATCATCACCAAATTTGGTAATGTTTCATTATTATACGAAACATTAAAGGGATTTATTTAAGAAAAAGATCAAAACTATGAACAAAAAATGGTAATAAATACATATCTATCAACAACTGAACCTAAAAACAAACTAAGCAAACAAGAACAAAGAAGGAATCATGGATCTGGAGAGCATTTTAACTTTTTGGTTCACAGGCTAGCACTCAATCCACTGAGCCACACCAGCCAGGGACTGGAGGGCTATTTGATGGTTGTTGGATGGGAGGAGGGTTTGGGGGAATGGGTGAAGAGGTGCAGGGATTAAGAAGTACAAATAGGTAGTTACAGAATAGCCATGGGGATGTAAAGCACAGTATAGGAAATGGAGTAGCCAAAGAACATATATGCATGACCCATGGATATGAACAATGGTGTGGGGATTGCCTGAGGGAGTGGGGGTACTGGGTGGAGGGGGGCAAAGGGGGAAAAACTGTGACAAGCATAATCAATTAAACAAACAAACAAAAAACCTCTAATGCCTAGATCTGACCAGGTATCTCAGTTGGTTAGAGCATTGTCCCAATACGCCAAGGTTCTGGGTTTGATCCCTGGTGAGGACACATAAAATAATCAACCAGGGAATGCATGGATAAGTGGAGTAAGAAAAAGATGTTTCTCCTCTCTCTAAAATCAATAAACAAAAATTAAAATACTCCAAACTTTAATGCCTCCAAAGGTGAGAATACAACTATTAGTCAGCATGTAAAAAGAGTACACCTTATCGGTAATTCTATAAATGCAAATTAAAAAAGCAACAAATTACTATCTATCTAATTAGCAAAAATAAAAAATTGATGGCACTCACCGTTGGCTACAGGGGTGCGTCTGGCCTACCACGGGAGTGTAATATGGTTCAGTATTTGGGGAAAAGCAATGCTGCAATATGGATCAAGAAATGTTCATCATCTTTGGTCTAGAAATTCCACCTGTGAGGGCCTGTAAGCTACTGTAGGGTCTCAGGCTGCTGCTGAGGGAAATGGGAGCCAGGCTTGAGCAGAGAAGTGAGATGACCTGACTTTTTCATCGCTAACAGTATATTCTGGAGCAAGTTGTGGATGATGAGTAGCAGCTGGCCAGGGGACGGAGACAGGAAAAGCCATTCTGGAGCAAGGTGTGCAGGGAAGTGTCGAAGGCTAGGTGTTGCTGGACTGCTGCAGAAGCAACTGCGAGTCAGAACACGGAAGGCCTGGGAAGTGTGTGAAGAAGCTGGGGCTTGACTCCAAAAACCCGGTAGAAAGCGGTGGGACTCAATGGGGACTGCCTTAACAAGATTTAGGTATGCCACAGGAGGGCAGCGTGGAGGCAGACTCGAAGATGAGGGGCACAGAAGATCAGTCACCTCTCCACGGGACCTTGATTTCCTTGGCTATCCTCTGAAAGGCCTTGTGATTCAGGGCAGCTGGGCCCCTCCCATCAGCCTCAGAAGCCTCTGCAGTAATTCCATTGCCTTTGCGCAGTGAACGACTTAGGCCTAGGGTGCTACAGGTTCTTGCCAAAGTGACCATATGGGAAGTCAGTAGGGGACTTCCGGTAAATTTTCCCACACTTTTAAAAAGGAATGCAGGAGAGGGATGACTTCTTTTTCCTGCCACTGAAGCAGCCATGACAAGGAGGTGATAACCCTGAGGGCAAAAGCCCAACATGCTGAAGGAGGCAGAGGAGGAAGCTGGCAAGGACCTGGGTCCTTGCTGACATCCCTAGTTGCTGAATTGACTATTCTGGAGCTTGTCTCCTGTCTGCTGCCAGGTTTCCTGTTACGGAGGACAATGAACCGTCTTCTCCCTCCCTCCCTTCTTTCCTTCTCTTGCGTGGCTAACGGCAGTCTAACTCCAGTTTCAACTGTGTCTGTCCCTGTTTCTGTAAGTGCTGGCTGGGCTCTGTGTCCTGGTTTTTATTTTAACGATCCATCTCTGAGCCCTTTAGCTTCAGTTGGACTCAGCTCTCACCAAGACAAAGCTGGAGAGGGGACCCTGAACCCTGGTCCAGAACTGATAGCCAAGGTCGGGCTTCTTTCTTTGCTTTCCGGATTAGCAAAATGGGAGGGAAGAGACCGTACCTTTCCATCCTCACCTCAATCAGCTCTTCCTTGCCTAGGGCATTGCTGGGAGAAGCCTCAACTACAGAAAGTACTGATAAAAGATCAGGTCAAGATCATTGCTTTTACCTCACCCCCCCCCCCCCCCCGACCAATACAGGCCAGAACAGTATTCTGAAATAAAGGAAAGAGTCCTAGGAATTAGCTGCGACCCTCTTACCCCACTCTCCGACAAATAACAGCAAAAATCTGGTGGGATCCAGCCTGCCCTGGGAGTGTAGGAGAGAGGATGAGGAAACATTGAGGTTCAAGCAGCGTGGAGATGAGGAAGATCTGGGGAATGGAGAAGGGAGAGAAGGAGACAGCTTCTATTGTGGCAGGAAATCCAAGAGTAATTTAGGACCACCCAGGCGGCAGTGCCGTGGGTGGGGATGTGTATGTGCGTGCACGCACGTGTGTGTCCTGGGGCGGGGGGCAGGCAGGCGGGCAGAGAGAAACATCTGCTTTGGACCCCAGGGCTGGCTGAGTGTGTTTGTGAGAGCCTGCAGAGGGCCAGAGGCAGGGTGGGGATGGGGTGTGGGAGCCCAGCAGGCAGGCAGGCTCCAAGAAACATCTGCTCTAGATCCTGGAGTTTGCCAGCATTTGAAGTGAAACTCTAACCTGAGCCCTGCCCTTGGGTGTGGGCCAGGGCTGGGGCAGTTTTGAGGAGCCCACAAATGCAAACGTTTGGGCAACAACAGAGGGGAGCTTGAGTCTGTAAAGGGCTGCCACGTGAAACTAGGCCCTGGGAGAGAGCTATGCCGAAAATATTCATAAGAAAGTGTTTTCTTCTCCTACTTCCCTTAGGAAGTGAGGATTTGGTCCCGCTGGACCCTGCTGTTGCTTCAAAGTGCAGATTCACTCGTGTCTGCAGGGGCCTGGGTGCCTCACTCAGCTTCTCCAGTCCTCCAGTTCTGACCTTTCTGGGTCTTCTGGTCAGATGTGATTGCTCCCTGTCTTCTCTTATCTGACACAATGATATTCTGCTTTGTGTTATATTGTATATTATATTTCAGTCCATGTTTTACTTTCCTTGCTATTATGAGAGGAGTCTTTTTTAGTCACCTTTGCTAATCTTGCCGTGCAGCTCGAAAATTCACAGAAAAGGAGGGCAATGAACTCTGAACATACACAGAGATCACCATTGGGAACCTCTTCTCAGGGCTCCATCATCTGCACGTGTCAGTTCACAGTGTGGGCGGGAGCAGCGCTCCCAGATGCCCAGGCTCCAGTGGGCAGGCGCCCCCTCCAGACCCAGAGCGGAGGCCACTCGAGCCCAGTAGCCAGCTCCTCACCCTGTTCTTGCCTTGGGCTCGCCATACCCAAGCAGCCATGGTCAGGGCCCGCAACTCACCTTCCACCCAGAGCTGCTCTAGGTCTGTCTCAATGACGGCCACGCGGAGACCCAGTACCAGGGCCCCAAAGGCCAACAGTCCCAGGAACAGCACTTTGCCACAGTGTCTCTGGATCCTGCAGCCCAGAGAGAAGAGCAGGCCCTGGAAGTAGGCGCGAAGCCAGAGCGGAGCCTTTAGGCTCCCAGCTAGGATCTGGGATGGAAAGAGAAGGGTCAGTGGGCATCACTGCAACAAGGCATGACATCTTCCCTTTTCTCCCTGGGTACACCCCCTGCCAAACCCTAGCTTCTTGGTTTCTGGATGCAGGACAGGGAGGATCTACAGAGATGCAGGGCCAAACTTGGAGTAAGATTTAACCCCATTCCTCGTCCTCCCACCGAAATCACACCTGAGGAAGGCAGACACCTGTTCTGAGAGTAGGATACATTACACACATTTGTTCTCAGGTGGACAGAAGTGAACCCACAGACACTCTTGGCGGCCAGATGTGGAAGAAACACAGACACACAGACACACAGACCACAGACACACAGACACACAGACCACACCTTTTCCGGGCAGACAGTAACACAAGGCACTGACACAATCCACCTTGCATAGGCCTGAGTGACAGATGGTGTCCTGGGGACAGACAGTGTCCCTAGACCCGGTCTGTCCCAAGCTTCCTTCTTCTGGCTCTTTCTCCACTCACCTGGGGTGCCACGAAGGTAGCCGGGGGTGTGTAGTCTGGGGGCAGCTCCCCGAGGGGTGGTGGCCCAGCCATGCTGGCGGAGATGGGGGGCCTGGGCACCCCCAACCCGCGTTATCTGGAAGCCCCCATAGGCTGGCCTGATCCCCCTGGAGCGCAGGGCGGCTCAGGCGCGGGGCGTGGGTGAGAGTTGGATGCGGGCGGGCCGCGCTGGCTGTGACCCAGAGGAGTGCAAGGCGGTGCGGGGCGGGCCGGGCGGCAGCTGGAATGAGTTCCGCGTGCCTGCAGACCCACCGGCCGGAGTCCGGTGCGGTTCGAGGTGGCGACCGCAAGTGAAGAGAAGGCGTCTGCAGCCGGAGAAAAAGAGAGAGGGCAGAGGCGACGCGCTCCCATTGGCTGAGGGACCCGCAAATTACCCGGATCCGCTGCTAGGCAACAGCGCCGCTGGGGGCAGTGCAGGAGACCACCCAGGCAGGGCCACCCCCAGCTCGCCTCCCCGCCCACCACGGGCTCTCAGGGAGGAAGAGGGAGGGAGAGCCCAGAGAGGCACGGCGCTGGCCGAGTGTAAGTCAGAAAAGGCCAAAGCTGAGAAAGGGTATTTGCTGGCCCACCCAGCCAAGACCCGAATCCTCGTTGTCCCTCTTCTCTGCCTGCACCCTTGCCCCATTCAGGCCACTCTCTTCACTGAGGCCAGTCATCTCTAACATGCAAATCTGCTAACTCCAAAACACAAAGGCACTTGGAGCACAGTCCATGATCTAACTAAAGCCTCATCTCCCAGTTTCTTCACACCCACTCAATGTTTCTTCCAGCCCAGCAGAGCCACATGTAATGTCCTAAATGCACCGTATTGTGCCTTGCTTTTTTCTTCCTGCAAGTCGTGGCTCTTTTGTTTCAGCAGGTACCTTCAAAACTGAACGTGCATTGTGCATGGACCACCCCTCTCCGAAGCCTTCCTTGATTCACACCTCCCTCCTGACAGTTTACTTCTTCCTCTGTGCTCCTTAGAGCACCCAATGTCTGTATTTATTATAGCGTTTTTAGCAATTTATGCACTTGAGAGTGCCCCACTCACTAGAAAATAAGTAGGTACTCCATAATTGATGAGTGAGTAACTGAGAGTTAAAGAAACCAGAGTGAAAAGGACTGGAAACAGGCAAAGCGTCCCTTCATTAAACTCTTGTCATCTACCCTACCTGAGCCTGCTGTTTCTGTCAGGTTCCTGACTGACTAACCTTGAGGGGCAGGGGAAGCTAAAATCGATATTCCAAAGTAAAGTTTGAGAAAAAGAATTCATTACTCTAATGCAACTATTATCATCTCCAGCCAATTTCTTGGTCAGTTCTTCTAGATTGTTTATCATTACATCATAAATATTTTATGTTACTACATAGTCTTTGTATCAATCATTTGGAGACTTGTCCTTAGGACAGATTCCCAGAAGTGGGGGGTGTTGGGTCAAAAAGTAGAACATTCTTATGGCTCTCGCTGCAGATTGCCAAGTTGCTTTTCGAAAACTCGGGTCAATTACTGTCATTTCCAGAGCCTCAGTCCTGGGAGAAAGGAGCCGTTTAGGTTGAGGGGTGAATGCCTGACAGGTTTGCTGCTTCTACTGGCCCATTCATGTAGCAAAAAGTGCCTGTGGCACAACTAATACATGTATGAAGCTGTTGGCCAAGTAGTGACTACACATTCAAAGCAGCGCATGTGCACAGCACTTCTATCCCGTTGTGGATAAAAAGTGTACCCTGAACAATTCTCTGGAAATAGAAATAGCCTCTGAACTAGGGGTATGGGCCCCTAGACTGCTCCTAGGGCTACAGCCAAAGACGGGCATGGCTGGGTGTCATCAGGACTGCAAGTAGTAGCTCTTGAGACCTGTCCCTTCTTATCAGATTCTGCAAGACACGTAGTCCCTGGAGAATGGATTTGTAATTGCCTGGGCCTTGGGCAGACTCAGCTTCCGCAGCAGGCCCATCATTTGTAACAACTGCGGTCAAGTCCAGGACGTCGTCTCTGGATGCTTCCAGGGTAGGGTCTGCCTGCTGAGAAAACTTTTTGCCTTGTAGGTCAAAGACCAGAGTGGGAAGAATTGGTCTGTAGTTCCAACCATTGCAGGCCAGGGCCTAGTGCTCTCTGGCTGCTCCAAGTTCCAAAATTGCCTTTCTTTTGCCCAACAGAGTGATTTCCTGAGTGCAGCTGAGCTCAGCCAGGGAAGAGTTAAAGCCACAGACCCCAGGGAACAGGAAGGGAAGCGGAAGCTCCTCTTTTCTCTCTACACGCAGCCTGCTTCACTGTCACTTCCACTGGACCTATGTGTTTTGGGTCCAAACTAGAGAAGTTGTATGAAGAATAACAAGAGAAGAGCAATCTATAAATACATTATCACCAAGGAGTAAGTCTAATTACTGATTAATGAAACAAACATCTTAGGGTAGGGGTAACCTGCTGCCCGCAGGCCACATGTGGCTCAGGATGCTTATGACTGCAGCCCAACACAAAACTGTGAAGTTATTTAAAACATTCTGAGACTTTTTTGTGATTAAGTGTCGCACTGTATTTAATGTGTGGCCCAAGACAACTCTTCTTCCAGTGTGGCCCAGAGACGCCAAAAAGTTAGACATCACTGTTAGGGTTTCTTATGTGTCCCACCCCTTTGCTAAGCCCTCTGGGGTTGCAGAGTGCCTGTATTTCAGAAGTTCATAGCTTAAGGGAAAGAAGAGAGACCACAGGGAAACTGCTGGGAGCCGGAATACACAAGGAGGGTTCCAGAAGTTGAGGAATTGGATTGGAGAGGTGGGACGATAACTGAATCTAACAGAGGGTATGATTCAAGGTATGCAACTTTACTGGCCGTGAGGTCTTGGGCAAGTCATATAATCTTTGACATTGACAAAAAGATTAAATGAGATATATATGGCTGAGGAACAGTGCCAAGAAAAGGGAGGTTGGCCTCTCTCTTACACACACACACACACACACACACACACACACACACACACACACGGTAAAGTGACCAGCCTGGTTGCAGTGTGGGGTCCTCCACGGGTGAGGAGCCAGAAGAAAGGGCAGGCCTTTCTTCTCTACACTCCCCCAGGTTTCTCACTCACCACACTTTGGGCTGGTTTCTGGCACCTGGTTTTGGGCCAGGCAGAGTCAATGACCCTGAGATGTAGAGGGGCCCTGGCAGTCCCTACTGCCACCCACTAAGTTTAGGAGCCAAGTCTGGCAATGTATGCCCCTTCCCCGTTGGCAGCATTAGGTCAGTCGTTCATGTCAAGTCTCTGCAACCAGAGATCAGGGTGCCTTGCACCTTGAGGGTGGGGTAAGAAGAGAGGCTAAGAATCATAGCAGAATCTCCCCACTTATCCATGGCAAAGCCCGTGACGCAATCCTTCTGGGTGGTGGCAGACGGCTCAGGTCGAGGACAGGTCATCCTGGCCTCCAGCGGAACGCGCCTGCCCAGCCTCTTTCCCACCCTGTCAGCTCCATCAGAGCTGTTTTCTAGACTTCTGTCTGGGTGGTCCTCCGCACACCGTCTCCCCGTTCGTCAAACACAGTTAACTATTTAGAAGGCCTGGCTTATGGACCTCCTTAGGGGTAGGGACGGCTATGAGTAAAGAAAGTATAGTCTCTGCAATTCTCCAGAAATAGAAACAGCTTCTGAACTAGGCCAAGTAGTAACTACACATTCGGGCCCTGGACTGCTCTTGGGGCTCCAGCTAAAGACAATTCCCTCTCACTCGACTGTGGAAGGGAGTGGGACAGGGAGAGTATTGTGGTGAAGGACTGACAAGTTTAGCCTCTGGCCTTGGGAAAAAGCTTGGAGGGCGACCTTGGCCGTCAGTTCCCTTACTGCCTCCGGCAGCTCTTGTCAGGAGGCGGGGTGAGGTGGTAGTGGAGGAGAAATTCCTGGAGTGGCAGCCATCACATTTTGTCCAACCCGGTAAGCTCCCTGTTCCTCAGCACCTCCCCAGAGTCCTCCCTGATCCGTCACCAAAGGCCCCCTTCTTCCTCTCTGTCACCTCCGTCGGAGCGTCACGGACAGAGGCCGGGCAGATCCCATCAGTACTTTTCCTGCTGGCTTCTGTCCCACAGGGAGGTAGCCGGCCTGTGAATACTCAGTTGTGCGCTCTATTTCAGACATACCCAAACCCTCTGTAGCTGCTGCCAAAAGAAAACAAAAACTGTCCCTGCCTTCTGGCAGACAAACAGAGCAAGGAGAAGAGAAATCAAAGCATCTTGGGCAACCAGCCAGCCCTGTAATTATTAGAGACAATAGCAGCAGTGTCCCGAGCGGGGGGCTGCTCTCGGCTGGGACTCAGACTCAGCGAGGCCTTCCCTGGGGAACTTTGCCTTGTCTGTCCCCCCCAGTTCTCGTCCGTTTGCTGGTGAAGGGGCTGCTTATAGGCTTGTGCAAGGGAAGGAAGAGGTTTTTCCTCTACTTACTGTAAGGGGTCCCAAGGGCTCAGTGGGAAAGATCAAGAAGAGGTATGGGAAGTCCCTGGGACAGTTTAATCAATCCCTTCTCCTCAAACCTACTTAACTCCACCCCCTTTCTGTGGTCAAGGAACAGTCTTCTGGCCTCTTGGGCCACCCAGACCTCAAGGGCCAGAAAACTCTGAGAGCAAGGTGACAAGACCTGAGAATAGAGAAGGCCTTTAAGTTACCCAGTCCAGCCTTGTCTGAATGGCTCAGTTGGTTGGACCACTGATCCGATATGCCAAGGTTGTGGGTTCAATTCCTGGTCATATATACAAGAAGCAACCAATGAATACATAAATAAGTGGGACAACAAACTGGTACTTCTCTCTCCCAGCTCCTCCTTCCTCTTTCTCTCCCAGGTTCATTAAGTTAAAAAAAAAAGTTACCCAGTCCAACTCTCCCTGTAACTTGGGGACAGAGGAGAGGCGGTGACTTGGCCAAAGCCAAACCGCACTACAAGGGCAGGTCTTCTTTCATCAAGGCCAGGACCATCTCCAGCCTCATCTGGACCCCACAAATTAAATTTCAGTGCTAAAGGGGACCGTCTTGGGTGCCACCCCAGCTCTTCATTCCCACTTCTGCTGCAGTCCTGTTCAACCACTTCTGCTGGGCTATCTCAGCTCCTGTCTGATTAGGACAAACTTTCAGGAACCTTGTTCCGACCAATGGGAAGAATGTGGAACTTTAAAGCCTACCCAGGGGGCTGGTGGAGGTGAGTATCCCCCGGGGAAGGAGTGCTCACTCCTCACTCTCTCACACGTTCGGTGAGAACAGTGCTAAGATGCAGGCGAGATCACTCAAACAAACTTAAGAGACTTTGGATTTCTGAAGCAATGTAGAAACCAGTACTTTTCTAATTACTGCCACCCACAATGAGCACATCAAGAGAAACCTTCACTTTGTTAGCTCTGGGTGGTGAAATCTCACCCCAGGAAGCACTTTTATCTTCCATCCGACTCCTGCAGGTTGTCAAAGCAGTGCAGGACCGGCAGAAGCAGAGTGCCTGTGTGTTCGGGAGTGGGGCGGTAAAGGGAAGGTGGATAGGACTCTAGAAGAGCTGTGAGTGTGGAAATCCCATTTCTCAATTATCTGAAGCAGGAGAGTCTGTAATTAGGGTATAAAGAAAGAAATACAGCTGGAGAAGGGTCAGAAAGAACTGCAAACCACGATAGAGTTCCCTGGCCAAACAGACCACACTAAGGGGAGGTGGGAAGAAGTCTGGCTTCTAGACCATTGCTTTCTTTTATTGCTCTTGCCCCACTAAAACCGGTGAGGATAGGCTTGATGGCCAGGCAAGGGCGGCCTTCTGCTTGCTTTAAGAGTCTCCAAGGGGCAGTAGTTGAACCGAAGAAAGCGCTACAGACTGGGAGTTAGAGGGTGAGGCTGGGGGTGGGGTGATGGCAGGGGTCAGGAATCTGAGCAGCAGGTTTGGAGGCAGAGCATTGAGTCCCGGACTGAGGCTCAGGGCCAGGCTGCCCCACACCAGGAGCGGCATCGGGAGCATGACATGCAGAGGTGGTGGCACTGCCAGCAGCTAGGCTTACGGGCCAGGGACTGAAGTACTTTCAGATCCTTCCAGGTGGGAAATGCTTTTATGGACTAGGGCCAGCCCAGCCAGGTGGAAAGTCGCCCTGTGGCAACTTTACCAGTGCGGACAACTTGAGGAGCTTTACCACTGGACAGCCGCTACCCCTGCCCGGTAACTTCAGTACACGGGAGCTGGGCCATTGTGTCCTAGTTTGTCCCCCACGCTGGCTCTAGATGGTGTTACCACGTGACTGATGAACATACAGTGCGTATCCCTGCAGGCCCCCTGACATGGAGCGTGGCACTACTCCGCAGGTCTCCAGCATGCTTTTGGGAGCCCTTCTTTATTGGGAAATAAATACAGAGTCAAACAGATGGGCCAGCCAACACCTGTGGTTCTGGGGGCCAAGAGGAAGGTGTCTGACTTGCTCAGAACTCAGATCTCCATGAGCTGGTCATTCCCCACGATCACCTCATTTACTCGTTTGGCTACAAAAGAAAAGGAAAAGGTCATTTGAGAACTGTCAGCAAAAGATGTCATTTCAAACCCAATTACTTCTAATCCCGTGTTTATAAACATTTATTCCTGTCCTGGGTGGCTCTGTTCTTGAGAAGCTCTCAGCAATACAACCTGCCAAAGGGACTGGAGGAGAGACAGTATCTTCCTGCACAGCTGGGGCACCAACTCTGCACACCTGGCTTTTGGGGAGATTTCACATAGGAGGGGAACTGGAGCTGGGTCTTACACGATGAGTAGTTTTTTCAGGCAGTGTATAAAAAGGGAAGGCTTTCCGGGCATTCAGAACAACACGAGTGCCCTGGCTGGGCAGCTCAGTTGGTAGGACATCGGCCCAATGCCAAGGTCCGGGGTTGGATTCCGGGTCAGGGTGCATACAAGAAGCAATCAATGAATGCCTAAGTGAAACAACAAATCAGTGTTTCTCTCTCTCTCCCTTCCTCTCTCTCTCAAATCAGTAACAATAATAAAAAAAGAATGTGAGCAAAAACATAAAGATGTGTGAAAGGGGAACACGAAATACTGTGTGGTGTGGCCTGGGGATAGGAAATGAGGGAAAAGAGTGAGGACAAATGAGACTAAATGGTTACACGAAGATATCCAAAAAAAAAAAGGGAGATGTCTCACGTGTAACACGGAAGTAATCGCGCCGCCTGCACAGGGCTGTGTGAGGGTCAACGAGTTAGAGAATCACCAGGTGCTCGATACCGAGGGGCCATTACTGTTTTCGTGAAGTTCGAACCCACATGACCCTCCGCAACCTGGCTCTTGTCCCCTCCTCTTTAGCTCCATCTTCCATTTGCACCTAAAGCCATGCTATCTTACAGCTCTAGATCACAGCACGTGCGGCTCCACATGACTTTCTCCCCCCCACGCCCTACCCCACATGCCCTAGTCCAGCACCTCCACTACGGGACGTCTTCCTTTTGAACTGTCCGTGTTCTGCTTTGTGAAAACATACTACCTAATGCATACCTCCGTCTCTACATCATTCTATCACTCTCTTCTACTTCGGTGAGGCTCTTGAGGGCAGGGCCGTGCATTTACGGTCACACCTCAGTGTTTAGCACAGCCACTGGCACACGAGAGATCTCAGAGACTCGGGTGTTGGTTACTATGTAAGTAGAGAGCTACAGCTGACAGGAGGTGGAAGTTGGTGGAGCAGAGAAGTTCAGGGAATTGTGAAGCAGAGGGGTTGGATGGCTCACTGACGAATGTGTTTAAGTTGTCTGCAGTGTGGAAAAGAAAGAGGGAGGGAAGAGGAATACTGTGAACCCTCAATATATTTAAGCGAGTGCCCTGGGAGCTGACCAGCGACGTGATGAAAGGAAAGAAGAGGTTAGCTTTCACGGAACAAGACCAACAGAAAGGAGGCAGGAAACCAGTGGAAAGGGTCAGGGTATCGGGATTGTCTATAGATTTGGGGTAGGTGCAAGAGAGTTTTTCA